TATTTTGTCATTGCAAATTTTGAAAAATTCTAAATAGGGTATTTTTTTTGTATTGGTCAATTTTATATTTCCACTGATTTAATTCTTACCTTTAATTTTTCCATTTCTTCTCTTGGAATTCTCTTTTCAAAGTCTTCAAAATGTCTGGAAACAAAAAAAGAGAAAAGTTCAAATCTGTGTGTTTGGTAAATTAAATATGAGAATTGCTTTATAAATACATTGGTTATTCCACATAAAAAAAGACAAAGTTGTTTTTTTTTATAAGCAAAGGCAATAAAAAGGAAATACAGGAATGTCTATACTTACTTTAAACCTATTTTCTGATGGTGATTTAATTTATCTGTTTGTTTTCTTAGATCTAAAATAAACCATATACAATTATTCCTGTGTGCTGGCATTCTTCTTTCAAAAGTAAGTACCTTATTTTGGGGGTTATTATCAAGAGATAATGTATCAAAAGGGAGATAATTTGGTCGAAACTGATATTGAATATTATTTGCAGTGTTAATTCTTATTAGAATATTCAGATTTTAACAAATTGTTTTGCACCTATAAAATAACATCAACTTTGTGTACATTCAGAATCTCTTTTAACACTTAATGGGTGATTATACTTTCATTTTGTTCTTGAAAAACACATTACTGAGGTCCATCTACAACTCAACCTTGAATACTTCAGGTGGTTTTAAAATAAAACAAACTAAATAATAACTTACCCTCAATACTCATAATACCATCTTGAACAAATTTCTGTGCAGCAGCAGGCCTAAAGATATAAAATCAGAATTGATAAATTAAAAGATATTCCTTAACTTTTGTATAGTTAGACTCTTGTTGTTATCATTTGCACCATTATGACTATCTATCTGACAAGAATATGATGTTAATAGTGTCAATATACCATTTGGCTTCCTTTCTGAAAATACAAATTGTTTATATCTTTCTTACTTACCCTATTCCTGTAACTTTTGTTAATTCATTTATAGCCATATTGGTATCACTTGCCCGAATCTAATAATAATAAGAATCAAATTTAAAGAGACATTCTCCTTTTTTTGTAACAAAATTTATTATCAAAAACGTCATAATTTATAACTGAAAATATTTACTATATTGTATCTACTTGATCAAACTGAATTAAAAGGGTTAATTAACAACTGAGAATACTAATTGTTAATTAAGAAGTTTGACCTACTTATAGTGTTCAGTGTTCAGCTTTGTTATGGCTTGATATCATAGTTGAATCCCTTAGCTTGCAAAAAGCATAACAAACTTTAAAAGTTTATGTCAACTTTTACATAGGTTTGGCATTAAACAATTAATGACTGGGTTTTTTTAGTTAAAATTTTCTGACACGTGAAGGGACAAATTTCTCTAGATTTTGCTGTATAGTCTATAATTTTGACCTACAAAAAAGCAGATTGTCCCTTTAAAGTGATACTATGTCTTAGAATACACTCGTCCTGTGGCTAATATTTGTGTTTAATAGTGACCATTGGTTAAATAAGTATGCATCCCACACTTTATCAAGTTTTAAAGATAGCTTGCGTTGCAAGGTAACATACGCCCACTGGCAGCTTTCAGAAATAATAAAACAGTCTTTAGTGACTAAAGTACGAATTTTCTCATATTGAAAAAATTATTCATGTTGAATAATTCCACAAAATTTTTTAAAATCAATATCAATAACCCAAATACAACAAACAATTAAATCACACAGCTCTAATCAAGGGCAAAAAACAACTTTTGACGCGTGTTTAGAAAGTCAAGGGCAATAACTCAAAAAATGTTCATCAAAAATATCTCTTGTTAGAACTTGTCTGAGATCTTATCAATTTCAATGATCACACCAAGTTTCATTAGAATCTATTGTGCTCACGAACAAATTTCAACAAGTTTTTACAAAGTCAAGGGCAATAACTCAAAAACCGTTCATCAAAATTGCATCAAGTTAAAACTTGTTCGAGATCTTATCAATTCCAATGATCACAACAAGTTTCATCAGAATCGGTTGAAAACTGTAGCGTCAATCCTGCTCACAAACTATTTTTAGCAGATTTCGACGCATTTTAACAAAGTCAAGGGCAATAACTCAAAAACCGTTCATCGAAAATGCGTCAAGTTAGAACTTGTCCGAGATCTTATCATTTCCAATGATCACAACAAGTTTCATCAGAATCGGTTGAAAATTGTAGCGTCAATCCTGCTCACAAACTATTTTTAGCAAATTTCGACGCATTTTAACAAAGTCAAGGGTAATAACTCAAAAACCGTTCATCGAAAATGCGTCAAGTTAGAACTTGTCCGAGATCTTATCAATTCCAATGATCACACCAAGTTTCATCAGAATCAGTTGAAAACTGTAGCGTCAATCCTGCTCACAAACTATTTTTAACAAATTTCAACACGTTTTAACAAAGTCAAGGGCAATAACTCAAAAACCGTTCATTGAAAATGCGTCAAATTAGAACTTGTTCGAGATCTTATCAATTCCAATGATCAGACCAAGTTTCATCAGAATCGGTTGAAAACTGTAGCTTCAATCCTGCTCACGAACTATTTTTAACAAATTTCGATGCGTTTTAACAAAGTCAAGGGCAATAACTCAAAAACCGTTCATCGAAAATGCGTCAAGTTAGAACTTGTCCGAGATCTTATCAATTCCAATGATCACACCAAGTTTCATCAGAATCAGATGAAAAGTGTAGCTTCAATCCTGCTCACGAACAATTTTTAAAAAATTTCAAGGCGTTCTAAGTCAAGGGCAATATCTCAAAAACCGTTCATCGAAAATATGTCAAATTCGAACTTGACCGAGATCTTATCAATCTAAAGCATCACACCAAGTTTTATCAAAATCAGATAAAAACTGTAGTCTCTATAGTGCTCACAAGAAATGTTGACGGACGGACCGACGGACAGGGGCGACGACAATATACGACCACATATTCATGTGGGCGTATAAAAAGTGACAATAAAACTATAATCAAAATTTTAAAAAAAAGTGAGCAAGCGACAAGTCTGTTCAGTTTGAGAAAAAAAGAGTCTGGGTAATCAACGCTAAAACAGGAAACAATCATCTTCCAGTGTATACAAACAAACTTTGCCAATGATTAATATTCGTTGACAATTTGGTCAGTGGTGGAGTATTCATTCTAAATTATATGAATTGCTTTTTAGCGGAGTCACTTAATCTCCTACGAGGCATTATTATTCCGTCTTCAAAATATGTCTGACAATCTCGAGGTCAATTTGAAGAGTAGACGTCAAGGATGTGGGAAAACCGACTTGAGAGTTACTCCCCTTGCAAATTACACCGGATTTCCTAGACTCACGATTTGAAAATCGCTTAATGGATGTATTAAGCGTTTTATAATTAATTACTTGATTTTGTGGATATATCGGATTATAGAGGTATTTTGATGTATTGTTAGGACACCAGGTAAGTCCACTGATGGATATATACAGTGGTGTAACCTATTTTCGTGGATATAAGGATTCAACACCGAATTTTGTCAAAGTTTAAAAAACGAAAAAAAAATTTTATGTCTTAAATGTTTCCTCAGATATTCTACAAAATAATTAAAATTGGTTTATTTCGATTTTCTTTATGAATCCTTCACTTTGACCCATATTTCATGAGCAACCAACTCGGCAACGGCGGCGGAATGCGTCACCTATTTTCGTGTACAATGTTTGATCTATAAATAAGTCTAGAAAAACACGTTGTATGGATACCGAGTGGTATAATTAACTTCTCTTAGTATTTATCTTTAATATCAATTCATTATAACTAGTGACAATTCCTTCAAAGAAGCACGATTAAAAAAAAATAGTGACTGACAAAATAAGATACGTAGCGTGATTTATTGCTAAAAGTCACTGAAACAACATAAGAATATGGTCCACATTGTGTTCCATAGAAATTTTCTGCTGACACGGAATTTGCTAGTTGATCACGTGACTTCATTCGTTGGACTACATTTTCTAGCAGACGACACTTGGAATTCCAATTACCGCTTGGGATTATAAGGAAATTAGGTCGATAGAAAATGGTGACGTTTGGTACTAACCGAAATCCGCCATTTTGTATTTGTCAAAGAAAACTTTAATACATTTTACCTTGCTTGAAACTACTGGATTCATTCTACTAGCTGATATTGTAGAGAAAACCCATGTTTATTAAAACAAACTAATGCGGAGGTCGCGCAAGGTCGCTCATGTAAATTATTAATCCTTTCCGGAAATCCACGAATAATAGGTTTCCACGAAATTAGGTTACTTGACTGTACTCTAATTGGCCAAATTTGAGCAAAATTAAAATTTTATGTTCATCCTAAGACGTAGTATCCCTTTAACTGGTTACGGTGACCAAATCGGATTTATGAGTTATTTTCTCTTGACCAACAAGGCATAGGTCGTCAAACCTCATGGTTTTATTTCAAAGTAGATTCCTCATCATCACTGTTAAGATATCAAATTATCATTGGACCATCAGTGCTGAACAGAATCATTTCAACAAGAAAGTTTTAAGTTCAACTTTAATGACAAAATGTTTATGTAACACTCAGTGTGTTACAAAACACCATGCATACATTTTAGAACAACACCAATGATGAATGTAAATTGCTCTTTGAAGGTTTGTCAAAAAAAATACAAAAGATTGTTACCTTGTCTAGTTTTACTAAACTTCCTGTTGCTATAAACTCATCAATCTTCTTACCAATTTTATCACCAATACCATCCTTTGAAACACAATTGTTTTCCATTAGTTCATAAATTCATAACCTAACTGCATGAGGAATTTTGGAAAGGTATTTTCACATAAGAAGAATCACTACCAGTATACAGTGGCAGTACTAGCTTCCAGAGACTGTGGGTACAAAAAGGGAGCAAACAGACATGATGGGGGACAACTGTCAAGGCTAAATTCAAAATCAAACTTCGCAAGCCTCACTATAGCATCTGAAAGGGTTCTCCCATAAACAGTTTCCAAAATTGAATTGATTTGGTGCATACTGACACATTTTGGGTAGAAAATGTATATAAACCATGAATTTCTTAATTTGTTAAAAAACATATGGTGAGTGCAAACCATTTTTCTAGGGGAGGCATTTGACCACCTTGATTAAATTGACTAAAGTCATCATGACTTCCTTTATCCTGATTCCATTTAATTGTGACAATGATTGGTATGTATCTCTAAAAGTAGCCGATTATCAATATATTATACAAACCAATTTTCTGGCTTCTGTCCCACTCTTTATTCTTGTAGGATGTTTATTTAAAACACCAGCAGCTTTACGATAAACATTATATTTATGCATCTGACGATTCACGTTTTTCTCATAATTAGCTAATTCTGAAATCAATATTGAAAAGTATTGATTAGCATAAAGCTGATATATTTATTTTAAGATTGACAAAGTTAAAAACTAAAATACACTGAATGATACATACAATAGAAACACGCCTTCAAATAAAAAAAATTTAATATTTATTGTTTCATAAATGCACCTATATCAGAGGCCTTCCTGTTGGGAGTCCATCTTCATTAGCCCACATGGTGCAGAAAAGTAGGACGTAAAACTCCATTCATTTCATTTCCTGCTGGGAGTGGAAATGAAATAATGCCATTATTAGCAATGGCATAACAAATCATAAAAACTAAAAGTTATCCCATAATAGAATGTACCAGACTTACAGGCTACACTACATTTAAGTTAAAAAAAAAATTACCCATCAAAAAATCGCAAAAATCCGCATTTGGATTGTCTGAGGTTGGATCTTTTCTTTTGCTCATTTTTATTGTATCTGACTCAGTCTCAGTACCGTACCAACAAACTTGGACTTGCTCCTCAGTCCTTGGCCTTGGTTTGATGAGAAATGCTTTTCTTTGATCTGTGATTGAGTTCAAATTAGTAACTTATGAAGTATTGATTTGCTGTCACAAAATACAAATGTCTTTTTAGTTACTGACGAAAACATGAATTGAAAGTTCAAAAGGCCTTGTAATTTTATTTCTTTTGTTTACAAATAGCAATATCTTTCCCTCGCCCTAATTTTCTATTCTACTTCCGGTTTAATTCCAAATTAAGTTTATGGACAATTAATATTCGCGGATTTAAATGTTTTCTTGGAAAAATTGTTGGGAAAGGATCCTTTTCTTACGCCCCGTTTAACCCTTTTAAAACGACAACAAATTATTATAATGTAATTCATGGATTTCACGAATAGACTAGTCCATGCAAAAAGTTTGACCCGGAAGTAATTTTTAGTAAGTGAAAGGTCGGGCTATATTGATAGAGGCCCAGGCACAGTTTATAAAACCGACTAACGTCTAACGTGGCAGAACATTGAACAGTTGAAGTGTCGGCGTCTCTTTCATCTTTTTAGTGTTAATCAACTGTCACCCGTGCGACTCTTGACCCATCATCGTCACTATGTGTGGTAAGTTTTATACCCGTTTGATTTGTTTTTCTTTCACCATGGTAATACTCCAAAACAAAAAGGCTACATTTTATTGTTTTTTTTGTCTAAAAGTTACAATTTTTACATTAATTATACCGACCGGTGTTATTACTGTTTGCTTAATCTAATTATAAGAAGATTTGTGAAATTATAGAATTGAGTTTTATGTTATTTTGAAAAATCCAACGTCCAGTTTAAGGAAAAAAAATCAATATTAAAGATTTTAATTTTCAGTGACTCAAAAAACACACTCTAGTGTCAAAGTACAAAGACTAATTCTTCAAAAATTGTAAATCTTATAATATTTTAATATTGAGTTAGCTTAAAGTTGTGTAGAGGATTATTCTAACAATCATTTTTCTTTACAATAAATTTTTATTATTTATGATAAATAATTGAAATACTCAGCTGATTAAATAAGCATATTATATTTTCTTGTTCAGACAGTTTTGAACAAATCGGTTTGCTATTATAATTATATGTACTTTTTCTAGTACAGTCATTTGATCTGGGGTATATACCAATTCTTATAAAATTATAAGTCACTTTTTGATGGTGAGATTTTAGATTCACCTGTCCTGTAAGTGTCATTTCATCAGAAAACCTGTTTAAATCTTTAGGCCTTGATTAATGGAATGTAGGCTACCTGAGGCAACATGTCCACAGATTTCATCAGATACCATATTTGGTATGATTTATATTCTTATAAGCATTTTATTATCAGAGAGGGTACCGGTAGCCAACCCTAAGAATGAACAATGGTTTGATCTATTCTGCTTGTAGACAATGATTTGAGCATCAGACTCTTCATGCCTATGAACTACATACAAAATAATACATAGTAGGCTATATATTGTCATAATAGTTGTTTATTAGTGGTCTGTAGCTACTTATTAAAGATAAGGGAATGGTGAAGGCAAATTGTGGGCTAATGTTTCAATCTGTTACTTGTTCATACTTTTGATTTATTCATTTTCTTTTTTGCACAAAATACAGGTCTGTATTGGGTTAATAAATTGACAATCCTACCTCTCTAAGACAGGTTTTGATGTTTGATGCTTCCTTGTTTGCCCAGTTGTATGTTAAGCAATTTCTCAATTCTTTGCCTATCCTCTTAATGTGTGGGCATTGATTTAAAAAGAAAAAGAATTGTCTAATGTTCATGTTGCATTAATGACTTTGTAAACTTGATGATACTTCCTGATGATAAACCCACCAGCTGTACTCTAGGTCTATATGTTAGGTATACATGTATATCTGTCAACCTGACTAAAATGTAAATATTTATTCAGTGGTTAACATTCAGTTAGTGATACATGCCCGATAGTTGTAATGCTTGGTGATACATGCGTTCAAATCTCTGCATTATAGCTCACTTCTATCTTCACTTAGCAATGTTAGCATTATTTTTATCCTTTTTTGTGCACTACAAATTAATATGAAGTCAAGTTATGTTTCATTTTATTCTCTAATTAGATATATGAACATATGAGGCTTTGATTCGTTTTACACAAGCTTTATGTTAACCGTTGCAAATTGATTTCTGTCTTGTAGTTACTAGTTGCAACTACTAAACATATGTAAGTAAGCTTAACTTCCAGAAGGTAGTGGCAATTGGCACACTGCACCCTGTGACGTCACCCTGTCTGACATGGCAGATGTTAAAACCACTTACTTTACCTGACCTAATTAATAATATGTGTCTCCCATGTCAATTTCCTCCTTTTCGGGTTGACGTCACAGAAAGTACATTGTCTCTCAGAGAGGGAGAAAGACATAATTAATATACTGAACCAACTTCCTTCATTGTAGGATTGCTCCTTTTTTGTGTGAAAACCCAAATTTTTTTTTTAGGTTTAGTATAACCCTCAACCATTGACATTACATATTACAATATTCTCAACCATTGTCATTACATATTACATTTTTCTCAACCATTGACATTACATATAACATTATTCTCAACCATTGACATTACATATCACAATGTTCTCAAGAATTGACATTACATATTACATTATTGTCAACCATTGACATTACATATTACATTATTCTCAACTATTGACATAACATATTGCACTATTCTCAACCATTGACATTACATATTGCACTATTCTCAACCATTGAGATTACATATTACATTATTCTCAACCATTGACATTACATATTACATTATTCTCAACTATTGACATAACATATTACACTATTCTCAACCATTGACATTACATATTATAATGTTCTAAACCATTGACATTGCATATTACAATATTCTCAAAAATTGACATTACATATTACATTATTCTCAACCATTGACATTACTTATTACATTATTCTCAACCATTGACATTACATATTACATTATTCTCAACCATTGACATTACATATTACATTATTCTCAACTATTGACATAACATATTACACTATTCTCAACCATTGACATTACATATTACAATGTTCTAAACCATTGACATTGCATATTACAATATTCTCAAAAATTGACATTACATATTACATTATTCTCAACCATTGACATTACTTATTACATTATTCTCAACCATTGACATTACATATTACAATATTCTCAACTATTGACATTACATATTACATTATTCTCAACCATTCACATTATATTACATTATTCTCAACCATTGACATTACATAGCACATTATTCTCAACCATTCACATTACATATTACAATATTCTCAACCCTTCACATTACATATTACATTATTCTCAACTATTGACATTACATATTACATTATTATCAACCATTGACATTACATATTACATTATTCTCAACTAGTGACATTACATATTACATTATTCCCAACCATTGACATTACATATTACATTATTCTCAACCATTGACATTACATAGTACATTATTCTCAACCATTGACATAACATATTACATTATTCTCAACCATTGACATAACATATTGCACTATTCTCAACCATTGACATTACATATTACACTATTCTCAACCATTGACATTACATAGTACATTATTCTCAACCATTGACATTACATATTACACTATTCTCAACCATTGACATTACATATTACAATGTTCTCAACAATTCACATTACATATTACATTATTCTCAACTATTGACATTACATATTACATTATTCTCAACCATTGACATAACATATTGCACTATTCTCAACCATTGACATAACACATTGCACTATTCTCAACCATTGACATAACACATTGCACTATTCTCAACCATTGACATTACATATTGCATTATTCTCAACCATTGACATAACATATTACATTATTCTCAACCATTGACATAACATATTGCACTATTCTCAACCATTGACATTACATATTACACTATTCTCATCCATTGACATTACATAGTACATTATTCTCAACCATTAACATGACATATTACACTATTCTCAACCATTGACATAACATATTACAATGTTCTCAACAATTCACATTACATATTACATTATTCTCAACTATTGACATTACATAGTACATTATTCTCAACCATTGACATAACATATTACATTATTCTCAACCATTGACATAACACATTGCACTATTCTCAACCATTGACATTATACATTGTATTATATCATAATCTATATGAGTAAAATAAAAAGACTAAATTATGTTGGAACAAACTAAACTTGACACTTTCAGATTAGAGTGTATTCTATGTTTTGTACAGTTATTTAACAGTTTTTGTGAAATTAAAATCTTGAAGAGTGATTAGTGTAGTCTGTGTGTTAAATATGACAAGTACAGGTGTGAAAAGCATGTACATAAAAAGATTGAATGATAGTTTGATATAAGTAGAGACTTGCCTAAGGGGACAATCTAACTTGATTATAACAATATGTTTAATTTTTTTAATAGACAATAAAAAAGGCTAGGGGGTATAATAAAGATATGAAATGTTATGATTATTATATAATTACCTCAATATAACTATAATCTTTGATCTCGAAACTTTCAGGGATAATAGTCTCTGATTAAACTATGAAACTGATTAAAGATTATTGTGATAACATATATCATGTAACATTTTGTTTTTAAAAAAATCAAAATCTCTATATATACAATTACAAAGATATTAATGAACTACTGATTTACTTAGCTTAGTGCACTTTCTTATCTGTATGAAACTTGCATAATATTTTTAAGATTTTTAAACTTAGTAAACTTACAGTGAACACTGTCAGCTCCCGGTGTTAGTGTGTGCATGTAAAATATTTACATACATGTATTGCTACTGTGTACTTCCCCTACGCTCACTAGCAAAGAGATGCAGTTTCCGACAGAGCACAAATTCAGCTACTCATAGGACTTTAGGAATTTATGATGTTTTGTCCAATTCAATAAAAACATGCAGACCAGTCTTAGTAGACATTGTAAAATTCATAAGACAAAAGCTGCTGGTGATGTAGATTGACTTATTGCACTGGTTGAACGGTAACATGGCTAAAACTTATGGTTGTCAACTTCTTCAAGTCACAACATGAACCTAAACTGGCCTTTAGAAACACAATATAACACTAATCACACAGTAAAATGAATAAGGAAGTAACTTGAGCAACATTTTAATCTGAAATATAAGTGATTTTTTTTATTCTGATAAAGACCTTATCGCCATAAATTTTTCCATTGACATTCATGTTTTACTTCTTGAAATCTTTATCAGTGATATTATAATGACCACATTTCAACCAATTTATGGATCCTTGAATTTAAATATGTTTGTAAGATTATCTTATAAGTCATTTTCAAATATTTTATTAAACTTAAAATTTGTATTTAAGTACATTGTATACTTTCTTTATATCATTGAAGCAGAAATGTTGGTCTACATTCAGGAATAATACAAAACAAACATATTTAGTTACTCCTTCTTTTAGGTGACTTACAGGAATACTATACGTCTAGCAATAGCCAAAGTCTTTTTAATTTTTCATCATAGTACATACTTGGTGTCAAAGAAATACAACAGAATCCTTGTATAATCCAATAAATCCCTAAAACTACAGATAATTTTTTAAAAACAGCTTAATGTTTTTCAATAACATATTAGTTGAATGGATTTATTGTCATATGTCATATATATTCTGTTGTATTGTTATGACACCAGAAAGGTCAACAGATGAATAAAGTATATATTAAACTCTTGTTGGTCAGCTTACCATGCCAGAATTAATAAAAAACAGCTTACCATACCAGAATTAATAAAAGACAGCTTACCATACCAGAATTAATAAAAGACAGCTTACCATACCAGAATTAATAAAAGACAGCTTACCATACCAGAATTAATAAAAGACAGCTTACCATACCAGAATTAATAAAAGACAGCTTACCATAATGGAATCAATAAAAGACAGCTTACCATGCCAGAATTAATAAAAGACAGCTTACCATACCAGAATTAATAAAAGACAGCTTACTATGCCAGAATTAATAAAAGACAGCTTACCATACCAGAATTAATAAAAGACAGCTTAGAAATATAAATGAATGAGGAAGCACATTTCTTTCAATCCTTATATTTACATTCGGTAGTGTTCAGGAATCTATCACGTTACTTTTAAGGATAAAATTATTGCCATAATATAGTTAAACCTATCATTGTTTCTAGGCTGATGATGACGTATGAAAATAAAATAGTGCAAGGTTAATGGAGTCTTATTTATACAAACGAATGAAAATACATTTCTGAAAGTTCATCTGTAAGAGAAACAAATAACTGAAATATTCAACACAAATCCCAAGTTGTCACAGGAGACAACGTCATTACAACATTATTAAGTCATCAGTGATCACTGAGGAAATTTGTAGTTTACCGGTAAATGAATGCAAATTTCTCACATTGGTTCACTGTAGCACGTGACAATAAAATGTAAATATTATTTTATGAATTTTTTAGCAAAACTGTTGCAATGATTAAACCGTTTAATTAGAAACATCTTGTATAAAAAAACAAAAACTTGACTATATTTATATAATTGAAATGAATAAATGTCAGTGAATTCACTTACTTTTGTTTATATGTCATATAAGTTTTTACCCATTTTTTTTAATACGTTTACCTAAATTGAATGTCAGAATAAGACTTTAACAACATAGCATTAGTTATACTGCTGTGGTTTTCAAGCTGTTAAGATTATTTCTAGAAATATTTAAAAATTTGGTGAGTGATTACATCCAGAAGTTGCTGTCGTCTAACATGAACTAATTCTTCTAACATGAACTACTTCTTCCAACATGAACTACTTCTTCCAACATGAACTACATCTTCCAACATGAATTATGTCTTCCAACATGAACTACATCTTCCAACATGAACTACGTCTTCCAACATCAACTATGTCTTCCAACATCAACTATGTCTTCCAACATCAACTACATCTTCCAACATCAACTACGTCACTACATCTTCCAACATGAACTACATCTTCCAACATGAATTGAACTTCTCCCAACATAAATTTCTTCCATCATGTACTGAACTTCTTCCAACATGAAATTAGAAAAGTACTTAATGCTGTATTGTTTTGATAGCTTCTGTTGAGCTTTTAACAATTTATAAGAAATGTAAAGATGAAATTGTTTTTTTAAGGTCATATTAAATTTTTTGATGTACCGGTAATAAAAGTGTTGGCACAATGAGGTTGTTATTGGATTGTCACTGAACCATTAAGATGAAAAAAACAAATCATTTGTAGTAACAATATATTAAATGTTAAATTAGGTCAGATTTGGAAACATGTTGGTTTTTGACCTTATTTAGAAAACCGGTTAAGAGTCAGTAACCACACTTTAACTGTGAATTTCTCATCTTCAGAAGAAGAGTGGCGGTCTGGATTTATATTTGCTTTGCTTTTAGTTTTGAACCATTGCTCTATTTTTAATTTTTAGGATTCAAATATCTGAAGGAAGGACTAAACAGTTTCATATTTTAATATTGTTAGAGAAACCCATTCGAAAGTAGAAATGAAAGTTATTAGATTAATTATATTTAAATGAAATGAAATTTAAATATATTAGAAATATTGAATATATATGTATATTAAAGATGGAAAACCATACTAAATGGCATTTGCATTTAAAAGATTTTTAATCTTAATTTTCTAATCAATAACTGTATAGCAGCTGTTAACATAACTTCAACTTCATAAATATTTCTGTTGGGAATAATGTTAGATAAACATGTACATTAATTGGTCAAATCAATACTTTCATATAACCTTCTACAATCATACACAGCAGACCACACATAATAAGGCTAGCAGATATATTTTATACATACCTAACAGAATCGAAAAGAACATTGCAGATTGTGCATTTACTCAAATGAAGAACCTCATTGTAACTAAGAGAATTTTTTTTTGAAATGCAAGCACAATAGTGCAGGTCAAACATTTAAGCAAAACAAACAGGGGTTTGATATGTTAAATTTGAATGTTGAAAACATTACAAGTGGTAAAGAGAAAAAAAAATGTGTTGAAATGGCTTTAGTTCTAGAGTTCTAAGAACCAAGCCCAAGAACCAAGCCCAACAACCAATACCTCACATCTCTCAAGCCATTGCCCTAACTAGTTTCAATTTAATTGTACATTTTTCTGAAGAACATGCAATATAGAATGTAAATCCATGATGATAAACACACAATACCTTATGAATTTATGATTGCAGAAATAATGTTTCTCCATATATTTTTTGATTGCATTGTTAATGCTTAGTAAAACTACCTCATCATTGTAAAGCCTTAGCCTTGAAAAAGAGCCTAGGTCGTTCAGATGAGACAATAAACTGAGGCCCTATGTACTACAGGCTATATCTGGGTGATTTAGCTGTAACAATGTTGTATGTTTTGACCTAATCTCCTAGGATGTTTCAAGTCTTCTAATCTGACATTGAATATTTCTAAACCTGTAATTTGATTTACCTGACAGAAACCTGAAACTACCTGGTTTATACCAAATGACTTTTGTATAAGGAAGTTTTTATTTCATTGTCATTGGCTCTTCCAATAAAAGTCCTATATTCTGATTAGCTTGATTTTCTAATTATGCAATGCTCTGTTACCTTACTTATTATTTAATATGTATATCAATATCAAGGTTGTAAACCTACTATTTGTTTGGTTGATGTCAAGGGTGTTGTATTGAAATTGATTTAAATAATGCTTTTAATATTAAGATTGTGTTCCAGAGCTAAGTCTACTCAAAGACTGTCTCCTTAATTATGCTGTCAAATGCATGATGATTAGTTATTCCTTAGTGATCTTATGTTTGATGTCATTAATATGCTTACTGTCTTATTAGTATGATTGCATTCATACAAACATCTAGAATGACAATGGGTAGTAATTTGCTTTGAAAAAATATTTATGATATTCATCCAAGGAAATATATCCAAGTAATTTCACATCTGAAAAAAAGCAAAATTTGACTTTGAAGTAATCAGACAAGAGATGAAAGAATGTTTAGAAATTCTCTTTAATGCAGATATAGTTGACGGAAGAATCAACTACACTGATGTCCAATTGAGAGTTACAAGTTAAGCTTGAATGATTTTCAATTTGAGGTGAGATAATCATTTTATATTTTTTGTGTTTTTCAGGTATTTTTGCCTATTTGAATTACCTGGTACCTGCCACAAGAAAGGAAATTTTAGATATTTTAATCAATGGATTGAAGAGACTAGAATACAGAGGTTATGATTCAGCTGGTATGTTATATATTTTTAATTGCTAAGGTGATAGAAGATCAGAGTTGTTTACCACAATAGGGTGTACTTCAAGTTTTAGCATAATTATGCCCCCAATGATTTACTCCAAATCATAGGTCTATTGACTTGAAACTACTCAAACTCTACAGAAACAGACGCTTTTTTGTCCAGTGAACTTACCTTTCTGAATGGTGTTAAAATAGAAAGCTCCAGGTTTTGATATTTCATGGCATAAATTTGATTGTAACCTGATGTGCTGTATTTTATCTAAAGATTTAATATATGTAGTGATATGTGAATACACTCTATTTGCAGGTGTTGGCTTCGATGGCAGCATTGAAGATTGTAAAGAATGTCAAATAAAACTCATAAAAAGTCAAGGAAAAGTTTGTAGACTAGAAGAAGCTGTACAAAGTAAGATATATTTGACAATTTATCACTCAATTTCTGATTTGTTTCTTGTTTAATTCAATGATTTTCACTCAAACATTCAGCTAAGCATAATAAATTGGCTTGATATGTTGATTACAAAACCTAGTTATACATTGGTATAAATTATAGCAATATATCTAAGATGTGTTTTTCTGTTTTGTCATTGATAGACAATTTATAGATTGTTAACAATTCCTAAGTGTATTTAAGTTTATTTCTATTCAGAATGTAAAGATGTCAGCTTTGAAAAGAGTTTTGACATCCATGTGGGAATAGCTCACACTCGATGGGCTACTCATGGTGAACCCAGTGATGTCAACAGTCATCCACAGAGATCAGATACAAGTAATGGTAAGTTGAACTTCATTAGAACTGGCAGTCTTGAATTGTTTATTTTCGAAGAAAATATGTGGAATGTAATATTTTTTTATCATAAGTCTGGTTGGTTGACACATATAAAGAGATTAATATTAAAACCAGTCATTAGCATACTATAAAACTCTTTAGCCTTGGTTTGTCATGCCCACCATTTCTCAAAAAATCATTTTGAATGTAAATGTTCACACTGAAATAGATATTGATTGTGATGTAGTTTGTGTAACAAAGTTCTGATATTTGAAAAGATTACTATAACTAGTTAGCGAGGAGTATATTTGTATTAGGTTTAAAGTTGGATTGGATCTGAATTGTTATTATAATACCCTAGTCAATAGACCATCTGCTGTTTTTTCAGTTTACAGTTTTACCTAATCCCTCAGATCTCTTTGTTTGAATTTAATTAGACTTCTCTTTAAACAAATACCAGGGGTTTCCATCAGTAATCTGTGGGCAGGGTTTTGTGGCTGGCTTGTATATACCTTTTAAAATGTCACAAAGTGATCTTGTGGTCTTTTAAAGAATGTTTGGTCTTTGATATGTCAACGTTGAGCCATACTGTATTTTTTTGTGGTTGGACCTAAGTCAAGAACTGAACAAAAAAAAGGAAATGCACAGGCATGATGAATAGATGTGACCTCATTCAGTCAGAGCATTTAAATTTGATCTTACATTTCTGGATATGTTAGGCTTTTAGATCAATTTCAACTATTTGTAGATAAGAAAATTTATTTTATTCCAGTATTTAAAGTTTTTCTGGTCTAGGTCTACTAGTTTGAAGTTTAACATCGATACAGTGTGCCAATTATTGTACCCTGTAATTTTTTAAATTGTTTAAAGACATTTTTCAAGTCTTTTTGGTATTTGTTAAATAGAGTTTGAAACGTCATTGGTTTTATAAGATCAACACATGTTTGTTCCTAATCAATGACAAAACACCAGTGACTTGAAATTTCTCAAATGTTTCTGGAGATCGTTTTCTCACTATTTAGTCGGCATTTATTGACAGAGAGATAGCTCTGGTAAACAAATAGAATCTACGACATTAGGTCAATATTTAATTTTACGCTAGTCAGTCTGACATTTTGTCACCTTGAAATCCAACGCCCACCTGAAGATTCATGATCAACACCACTATTCAAACTTCTATAATCAGATATTCTTAGTTGCCTGTTATTTTAGTCATACCACAATATCCATCAAGGCTATTTATTTCTATATTGTAGTCACAAATTATCCTTACAGTTCATTTAGGTAAAAGAATTCTTCAAAATAGGCTGTGGCTAAGGGTTCAATTCAAGAACAAGAATTGTATTACCAATGCAATATAACTCAGTAATATCTTGGGTGAATAGGCTTAGTAAGCTATTGGGTGCTATATTTTTAAGCAACATTAAAAAGTACAGCTAGATATGTAATTTTCACAGAAATATATTAAAACAGGATGTAATGTGTGTGTGAAATAAGAAACTAGGAAATTAGAGTATATAAGTTAAGGGCCAATGACTTAGTTAACAGTGAGGTAAAAAATATTATTATGCTGCTTTACTGGTTTTGAATAGGCTTGTTAGATTATTTTGTGAGCGTGTTTGATAACTATAATGCAAATTTGCAAAGAGCATCATTACTGATGTGTGAAGCGAATATACATTGCCCTACCCTACATTCTATTTTTATGTCTATCTATTTTTTAAGTTTTATTGTCCTTTATCAAATTCAAATCATACTTTTGATTTCACAAAATAAGAAAATTATATTCGTCAGCATACAATGTTTATTATATCTATTTCAGAATTCATACTGGTACATAATGGTATTATTACTAATTATAAAGATATTAAATCCTTCTTGGTACGTACCAGTCTTATTAACCTGTATTAAACTAAGCATGCTACACATCATTATATGGCCCTTGAAATGAGATTAGTGCTATTGAAATCTAGCCAATTGAAGAAGAACCGAACTGGAGGTCAAGTAAACAAAATACAAAATCTATTTGTATCCTTATAAAGAGATTAAGGTCACATTCTTTTCAGCTACTTAATATTCCAAAGTGTGGTTTTGATTTTCTGCCAGTTTCAATTCATTACTGAAAATCTTACTCAATTCTGTATCGTATTAATTAAAACATTCAATAACCAGCTGCTTTTACGTTCGCATACAAAGCGTCATGAGTGATTTGATTTCATTGGCTGAGACTTTACTACCAAGACCACAGGGCCAATTTGGATTGGACAATATTTAGCTATGAATACGTAATTGTCCTCACTTGTATTACCACGGCCAAGAGAAAGTATGATGAATGAGAGTGTCGTTTGGACACGATGCCACACGGTACCATTCTGTAATCTCCTCGCATATATCATGAAAATTGCTTAATCTTATGAATAATTTTCATAGAACAAGATCTCATTTCATTGTGATGGTACACTTCACTTCTCATATCAAATTGCTTTGAAGAATTAAAGAATAAATCAGAATACAACTTATATATCCAGATGTTATCAGTCTAAGTCTCTCTTGTTCAAACTTGGTCCTTATTGCCATAAACCAATTGTTTTGATACTGATGAATTTTATGTGGAGTATATTGTTAAATCTATAAATCATATTTTCAGATGAAAAAAGGTCATCAATTTGAATCTGAAACTGATACTGAAGTTATTGCCAAGCTGATAAAACATTTATATGGCACACATAAAGATAGTAATATTACCTTTCGTGAGTTGGTAGAAATAGCTATTCAACAATTGGTAAGTAATCTTTGCTTCTGTAACTACAATTTGACTATTTTACTTAGCACAGCTCTCTTTAAATACTAATCCATATCATTGTTCAATGTTTTGTTAATCTTCAATGTTAATGTGCCATTGTGAATTTTTTTGTACAAAGTGGAGAACACAAGATAGATCCACATTTCATTCGAAAACTGTTTTGACTTGTGCTACTTGTGAATTTACATCTTGTGTAAGAGAAACACAATTTGACTTTTGAAGAAACATGTGTTTGTGGTGACTTATACTGTGAAATCTTTCTTTCTGTTTTTTTTTTTAGGAAGGTGCTTTTGCTCTAGGTGTAACAAGTGTTCACTATCCAGGAGAGATTGTTGTCACTCGGTAAGTAACTAATTGTACTGTTTCACTTAATGTGATATGAATACATTGGTCAAGGTGTCAAATTAAATGATTCAGAGCCTATCTTGATAGATTTGATATATTATGCCTGCTCATAAATTGTTGACGCTTGTCACGATTTAATTTATCCTTGTCTGGACAAGAAAAAGGGCTATACAACATGGCAACCTTTTAATGACAACTTTAGAAAAAGTCATCTTTGTCATCGACACTTCAGTGAATTCACTTTCAAGATAAAAGTGCTGCTGAAAATATTATGTAATGTTTGGTGACTTTAGAAGACACTGAGTTAGACCATAGTGTTAAAAGTCCTTGTCTGAGTTTTATTTTCACACTATAGTAAAATATTAATTTAGCCTATAGGCCTAATGATGCATAAAAGTAAAACTAATGAGAAAAGATAAATGTTGTCTAGACAGATTATTCAGCCAATAAAAACAAGAAATGTTAAATTATTTCATTACTTTACATCAATTCAAATTATTTTATTTCAAATAAACATTATTTTGTATAATAATAATATAGATTGGTAACGATCTGTATGCTCATTAATGAATCACCCAAACCTAAACAAGCAAAGATTAAATTGTTTTGAAATTATTTAACAAAGTTGCAAAAGTTATGTAAAGACTTATCATATATGGCTGGACTGATCACATTATGCAAGTAAATAGTATCCTGTTGGCCCAGATATGTTAGATATCTTTGATAGGCTATACCTGATCAGATTACGTGAATAATTCCTTAAAAGTATTAACTATCTATAATAAATTATATTGTTTGAAACTTGATGCTCAAATGTGTCATCTTAACCATGACTAGTTAATAGTGAAGAAATTTATATCAGATTACATGTTTAAAATTTGAAAAATGACAAATATTTTCACCTGAAGATTGAACGAAATAATGCATACCTTACCCAAAGTATCTTAAAATTTGTTTTTGTCCATTTTGAGCTGGGAAAAGCCAGGATCATATTTCTTTTACTCTAAATTATTTTGATGTGACATTAGGATATTTTGTTGAATGCACATATTCAGTCTTGTCTGCAGCATTGCATGTAGTGCCTGTCAGGAACATATTATTACAGAGATTCTGTGACGTAGGAAAATTTGAAAAAAGATCCATGTCGCGGAAAATTTTATCTCATTGTACAATAAGGTGCTGAAGAATAAGACAAAAGACCATTTTATGTCACGTCTCTTTTTTGATTACACGATTGATTAAAGACCCTTTCTCGATGACATTTACTCTGAGTTGACAGGTCAGGATGACTGTGTGACATGACATACACAAAGTCAACAAATTTGTTTAATGAATTTTGTATTTAGATGTTCAATTGACAATTCAAATCTGGGAAAACAATCATTGTAGAAAGCCGTTACCTCTAGAATGTATAGTTGTGTTTAGAAACTTTCTGAAAGAGCGACTAACAATATGGCCTGTTTTATCAGCTAACACAATGTTTAGCAAAAATAGCTAATCTCAAATGAAATTGTTATTTGACACAACCTCACTCAAATATAACATCAGTGCTGATTTCCTTAATATTGTCATTGATAAGTAAAAGTCAATTGAAGGCATCCTGATATCCTTGAAACATTAGAGTGACCTACAGTATTCAATGGACAAAATTATTAGAAAAATAAGAACATGACAAATTCTAAAAAGTCTCACATTTAATGTAGCTGTCCTGAAGTTGAAGCTCCATTTCCCAAATTTAAGTACACAAAAAATTGAGTTGTGTTGTATATTCATTTCAATTCTGATTCTTTCTCTTATAGACGTGGTTCTCCATTATTAATTGGTGTTAAAAGTCAAACTAAACTTACAACTGATCATATACCCATTTTATACAGTAAAGGTTAGTACTGCTTTTATTTTCTGCTTCATTTGTTTTATTTAGTGTAGTTTATCTATTATTGTTAATCTTAATGCATAGTCATTCTAGTCTTGTTTTTGTTTGTTTGTTTGATTTTTTTTAAGCTTTTTGAAGTAACATGTATATTTTGTTTGATCTTGTATGAGTTGAATGTGTTTGCTCATGGAATGAAGTGATCATTGTATTCTGGATGATAAACTTCTGAACCTATCACCTGCATGTATGATACTGTCAATTCCTTTGAAACTGTCCCAGTTGGTCCTTACCCCCTACCCCAGCTAATCAAGTGTAGTGAAGATATTTTGATCGCAGTATTATTTATTTTAACATATTTATTACATGTAATTTTTGTGCAATGAAATCTAATCTAAAATACATGTAGATAGGTAATAAATTATCATATTTAAGATCTACTTAAGAAATGACAAGTATAGTCCTGTATTGTTTAACTACTCAGACGATACTAAAATAGTACTAAAAATTGAAAATTAGGGTTAATATTTATTTGAAAAGGTACTGTTGTAAATAGTCATAAATTTTTCAGCAGTATATTTAGAAAGATGTCATATTTTTTTTTTCTGAGTTGGATAGTTACATAATTATTCAACAAATAAACTGACCAATCCATTATTCAACTTTCAATTGTGACAACAATTACACAAGTGTTCAAAAGTGTCTTTTTAGTAAGTTATACTGAGTGAACATTACTTTCAATTTTTTTTAATTAATTTTTCTACATTTTCAAAGGTAGGGTCAGATAGGAGCTTGAATTATTTTTGGGTGTTAGGATGATTTTGGAAATTTGAAATTTGTTTAATTGTGACGTCGATTGCACTATATAATGATAAGCTGTTATATTGATTTCATGCTTACGTGTACAGTATTTGATATACTACTTATATTATTTATTCAATAAGTTTATTGCTTAATAAATATATTAAATATTCATATCTTTCATATCTTGTTGATACTCTTTGAAATACATATTTAATCTAAAATACTAATAAATAATTTATATAAGATGTTTACCTGGGTAGATAACACTGTATAATAAATAATGATAAGAGTAATTAAATAAAAAAATGCAAAAAAAAACATCATTGAACAATTTGAATAACTTATTTAAATTTTGTTTTTAACTTTTTTTTATTGATGTCAATACGTATAGAAAACAACTTTCATTGTTGGTATAATTGCTTGTCATTATCTCAACATTTAGATTTTTTTGGCAAATGATGTATAAAGTCTAGAGGTTCATGTTTGATGTTCTCAATACAGTTTTTATTCCATTCTTCCTCTGCCTACAAGTTAGAAAGAAGAGTAAAGATGATAAGAGTAAAGTGTTATATTTGACAGTTGAGTATTTTGTAACAAGTTTGTTTGTTAATAGTGTCAACAATCCCTTTAACCACATAGAAACCTCACGAAGCAGCATGTGTTTCACATACCCTACACCACTCAGAATACTATGTTATAATCTTATAAGATAGTAACTGAAAGTGGTTTGGTCAGTGACCACAAACACAAGCCACTTCAGGTCATTCCATTTTAATTGCATTTAGGACAATACCCTATCATCTCCCTTTCCTCTTTTCTGTCTAATACATGTTGTCCTGCAATTCCCTAACAAATGAATTAAATTATATTAATGTCAATATTACAAATGGCATTTAGCTTGAAAGGTATAATAAAATACAGGCCCCTTGAATTGAACTCAAAAAGATGTCTCATTCTCGAGTTTATGGAAAGAAAGGACTGTTTTTGAGAGGTCATTTTTTATCAGTTGAGACAGAATATAATCAGCTCTTTAACCCCTTTTACATAAATAAATGTAGTTTTATATTTCATTGTCCGGGTTCATTGTCCACTACGTATTCAATGTATAACAATATCATTGGTTTAGCTATAAAGATTTATTTAGTATGAAATTCAATGAAAATAATTCACTTAAACATTTACGGTATATATCAACATGAATATGTAAGGGCTATTTTCTTGTTTGTTCATTTTTCGTATTTTTTCCAATAATTTGTTTCTTTTTTTTTAGTAACTTTTCTCTTACTAATACTTTATCTTGATTGACAAAATGTTTTTTTCTGCATGGTTATTATTTTGAAAAAGTTAAGAATAAGGACCATCTTCTAAAATTCACCTTATTATCTGATAGATGTTTCATAATGAAAATACAGGCTTATGTTTATCTGCAATAAAATATACCAAAAAGGCTAAAAGAAACTATGATAAGGGCAATAATGTTAATAAAAATCTGGAAAGTTTAATTTTATCACAAAGGACTTATTATTTTGACCTTGAAGAAGTTCTGTGTTACGCTGGAAATTTCTATCAAGTGGCAAATTGAGTAATTAGATGACTTTATTGAATTAGTAGTAAAAGTGATTTTAACCAATAAAGTCTGTCAGTAGTCCAAATCACTCTCAAAACAAGACAAAACACCACAGCTAGTGCCCCATAGAAATATGTTGTCCCTTTGCTCACCTCCTAGTTTGAACCCAATATAGATATTATAGATAAGCTAGATTTTGTTTTTAGATTAATGCATGTTTACCTAACATTATTGTTTTTGTATGTTTTAATTTTTTTCTTTTTCCTTTGTTTTGTTTAGTCTATTTTACAAGATGCAATTTTGTTGTTTGGAATTAGTTATTTTTTATCTGCGAGTGTAATTGATAGCATATTTTATGTTATGATATATTATAAACTTTATAAAGAAAAATTGAACCATTATTCTAAATTCTATTGTGTTAAAATTTGTGACACAACAAATTTCATGATGTGAAGGAGACATTTTCAAAATTATACAAAATTGCAGCTTTCAATACACAAGAGGTAACTAGGCAAGTTGATATTTTAATCATAATCTAGGCCTGCATTTAACCATTTGAACACTGAGTGTGAATGAAATAAAATGGTTAATATGCACTAGTTTGTCTATAGGTTTTCAATATTGCACAAGAGGATTCATACTTCATTATGTTAATATAAATTTGACCTATGTTCATGGGATTCCCCTTGGAATGTGCTATTTACAAATATTAGATAGTGTCATAGGGAATTCCTTATTATACATTGGTCAACCCCTAACACTTGATTAATAGGTAAAAACAGTATTTACTTGTAGGAATCATAGCTCATGGAACATGATTTTAAATATGGTTTAATGGTTATTCATTATCATTTGCGTTATTTGTAGTTGGCACTGCAGCTTGGAATTTGCAAATGAGATAGCAACAAATATGGCGTCATTAGGGAGAAAAATAGATCTGACTGTATTCAGCATGTTATGTGTAACATGGATACAATTATTATTGAATCGCCTGTATTAATAGAATAGTATTAAACATGTATGTAATAAAACTTTATATACCCGGAACTCACAAGTGATATAAGTTAAAGCATATGATGTTAACTTTGTGTGATGTCAACAGACACTTCACCAGCCGCTCTGGTAAATTTTGCGTAATTATGTGGCCAGTAAACTAGCTACTAGGGTTGAAAGGGTTAATGTACAACTTAGAAATTAAGCTGATGCTAGTGAAGATTTTGTCAGATATATCAATGCCAATTAAATTTTGACTTAATAAATAATTAAACTCAAGGTCTAATATAGCAGAGACATGAACCATGTTTACATTACAAAAATTGTCCGTTAAAATTTCCGAGAATGGAGCAGATGAAAAATTACTAGTGAAAATGGTCTGGCGTTCTGAGAACTGTTTCAAGACTATACCGAGAGAGGTGGTCACAGAACAGTTCTCAGCACAGAACAGTTAAAATTTGGTAGTGTAAAAGGTCGAGTTGTCCGAGAACAGTTCTTACGCATGCATCTTGACCCCTTTACATGTTTTACAGTTTTATGAGCAGACGAATTTGCCTTCATCAGGGTTATTAGAATGTCCAGGTCTAGACAGAGATTAGAACACCTTGTAGTGTTCTGATGCAAACAGGGATATGGACATGTAAGATTTGGACCTGCAGGTTTATGCCAACAGGTTTTGATAATAAAACATTGTTATTTGCCTCTTGTGTAGATATGTACTAACCTGTCTTTTCAATCCATTTATGTATTTTTTTTTGTTTTTTTGTTGGCAATCCTTATTAGGTAAAAAAGATATCAGCCTGCACGAAGGTAAATTTGCTAACCAAAATGCATGGCTTTATCTTGAACATCATAACAATTCTTTTGCTTGATCATGCTTGCAGAAATTTGCTTGTCATAACTTTTAAAAAAGATCTTTTGCTTGATTGCATGAATTATTTTTACAATTCTATCTGCTGATGTTTAGAAAATTAAAAAAAAACAGGAAATAAAAGTTGGTAGGTTTTGGTTGCAAAGTGTATATTTAGGACTAAAATTAGTCTGTTATCTGCTTCCTGTCATTTCTTTTCAGACTTTATGCTTAATGCTGTTTCTTGTAAACTTTATGCTGGCATTGCTTTTTTGTGATTAGATTTGTATCAGTATTTTATCTGTTATACTTATACTCTCTTTTTGTTTTTCTTTGTAATAGTTAAAACAAAAAAGTCATTTTTTATTTCAAATACAATTGATAAAAGTTTTATAAATGAGAAATTACTGAAGTGAAATGGTTGCTTTACTGTTTTGATAAAGATTGATATGCCTAAAAACTAAAAAGATACAGTTATGTATTTTAAAATGGTTTGACCTAATCTATCAATAAAACTCGTGAAAAAGGCAAATTCTATTTACCTTTAAACAAACATCTTAAAACTGACCTATTTCTATCTCTTATTCCTGATACAAACTGCTTTGATGTATCAATATCTTTAAATAATATCATAATTATAAAACATACTTGACACAAGAGTAAACCAATTGTATGCCCTTACACTAAAACTAAGTTTCTTGGAGCAAACCCTGTTTCTTCAGTCAGCATGTTTCATGGCATGTAAAACACACAATGATAGTAGATCAAATTCCGTAGTTTACAAAACAAGTGAAGTTGGAAAGTGTCCACATGAGCATTCCTTGAAACTTTATTGAGAGTTATACAGAATATAATTATTATGTCCTACATCAGCTTCTGTAGTTTTATTGCTGTTACTAATAAATTTAGTTCTGTGGTCTTTTCATCAAAGAATAATTATAGTCAGAATAATATTAAGCATTAGTGATTGACTAAACATATGATAAGATGTGCTTATTGATTAACAGTAATTTGCTGAACTAAAGTTGGATTCTTTTACCAGCACATACTGGCTACCGAACATGGTTATACCGTTAAACATACTAGTTTACTTTGAGACACAACGGAATACTGTTTTTGCTTTTGAGAAATTTTAAGTAAAACTCCATTCATTTCATTTTCATTTATTGAGAAATCTTACGTTTTATTTGTAGAACATCGAGGATTTATTGGTTCTGGAAAGAGAAATGAGGAACAAACAGAATTCCATCCAATTGGTCCCAATAAAATTGTTGAGTATTTCTTTGCTTCTGATGCTAGGTAAGATAGTTTAATTAGTGCCTGGTGTTGGTACCCTTGCTTCAATCACATGTTCCATTCCTGATATTAGAAGTCCAGGTACAATGTCTAAAACATTGATTACCACCATTATTTACTCTTGTCATGAACATTATAATGTATATTTCAGTGCTGTTATTGAACACACCAATCAAGTAATATTTTTAGAAGATGATGATGTTGCTGCTGTCAAAAATGGCTGTTTGACAATTCATCGTGTTTCTAGAAATGTTGATGATTCTACAATAAGAGAAGTGATCACTTTGAAGATGGAAATCCAACAAATTATGAAGGGTAGGCTTTTTCAAAAATTTTGTCACTCAAGTATTTTCGCATTAAAATTGGTCAGTTGTCTGAAGATTGTTTATTGTAAAACTCTGGAACAACATGTTTCAGTTTCTGTTTCAATATTTCTGATTTAACATGTTAACAATAAAAATATAAGTTATTGCTGATTATTTGCTATATAATTTTATTTGATATCATTTTTAGGGAGCTTCAGTTCTTTTATGCAGAAAGAAATCTTTGAGCAGCCTGAATCTGTTGTGAACACAATGAGAGGTCGTGTGAATTTTGCTACCAATAAGGTCGTATTGGGTGGTATTAAAGATTTTATGTGTGAGATACGGAGATGTAGGCGTTTATTATTTATTGCATGTGGAACCAGTTATCATAGTGCCATAGCTGTAAGTTTTACTTTTCTTTATTTTCTAGTATCAGTACTCTGGAAGGTGCACAGGATAGAATTAAGATTGTAACCAAAAAAGGAATAGGCCCACTTTTTCTATGTTTACTATAGATATGATTAATTTAGTGTATGATTGTAGCTCTTGAAAATTTTGTAGTGGCTTTGGTCTGTTTCACTCAGTAAACCACTGGAGTCAAATTTTACACAATTAATACACTTCAGTAAGTTCAGACAAAAATCTATCTATCTTAAAGTATCTTATAAAATAGATAATTATTAGTCAGTTTTTGAAAAGATGAATTTTCATTTTGCTCATGTTATTTTTAGACTCGTCAGTTATTAGAAGAATTAACAGAGTTGCCAGTAATGGTAGAACTAGCTAGTGATTTCCTAGATAGAAATACTCCTGTATTTAGAGATGATGTCTGCTTCTTTATCAGTCAGTCAGGTTAGTTTGAGATGTGATCAGAATGTTTTCACTTGTAATTGTGCATTAAGTGCATTTCTGTCAGGCTCAGTTTAACAGACAAGGCTATAAATACAATACACCCTTTAAAGTCACTTTAAAACAACAATTTCAAAACTGCAGAATATGACAGTGTACCATGTCCTATATCAATGTAACTATATAAAGCTGCAAATAAAAAAAAATGACTTCCATGCATCTTGCAGGAGAAACAGCAGATACATTAATGGCTTTACGATACTGTAAAACAAGAGGAGCCCTGATTGTTGGTATAACTAATGTAGTTGGTAGTTCTATCAGTCGAGATTCACATTGTGGTGTACATATCAATGCTGGACCAGAAATAGGTGTTGCCAGTACCAAGGTAAGGTATCATTTTATTCTACTGACCTGGACTCTTTAGAAAATAAATTACACAAAAACTGGGTTCTACTTTCCAATCAGATTTTTTTCAATACTTATTCAAAGATATGACACAAATAGTCTTGCTGATTGGAATACTTTTCTCTTCCCTACCAAAAAGAAAAGATGATATAACCAAAACAATATAATATTACACTGTAAGCTGTGTACTTATTGATACAATAGGTGGAAAAATGTGCTATATGCATGTCTGAATGTTTCCATGGGATGTCAGATACAAAAGTCATTTACTTCATTCAAATATGTTGAGAATGAGGCCAATACCTATCATTTTAATATCACAGTGTAGCACTGAACACCCAGATGTAACCTCTATATCATTAATCTATTATGTAAAATAATTGAATAATTGTTTCTAGGCATATACCAGTCAGTTTATAGCTTTAGTTTTATTTGGTTTAATCATGTGTGAAGACAGAATCTCAATGCAGGAAAGAAGAAATGAAATTATTCAAGGTTTAAAAACGTTACCAGGTAAAAGAGCTATAATTAACATTTTGATAGCTATATGAGTTGTATAGATTTGTCAAGTCACTTATATGAAATACGCATTTGCAATTTGCACTACTAACTGTTACTGATATCTAGAGGTATTTTTCAGAACAAATTAAAGAAGTATTAAAGATGGATGAACAAATACACAAGCTAGCACTAGAATTGTATCAACAGAAAAGCTTGTTAGTAATGGGTAGAGGTTATAACTATGCAACATGTCTAGAGGGGGCACTGGTAGGTCTTTTTACTACTCCAGTTTATATAAGAAATATCTCTCAGTTCAGATTTACTGCATAAAAGAATGCCCAATTATTTTTTGGTTGTTGCAAAATTGTTAAATCTTTTTCTGAATAATTCAGAATTTGAATAAATGTGGTTATCTTAAGATAATTAAGTTTAGTTAGCCCTTTAAAAAATTCAACAAATGTTGAAATTTATTTATATCCATTCTTTTATGAAGTGCCTTTATGTTTTCATTGTAGAAAATTAAGGAATTGACCTATATGCACTCAGAAGGAATATTGGCTGGAGAGTTGAAACATGGACCGTTAGCTCTAGTTGACAAAGCTATGCCTGTTATCATGGTTATTACAAGAGACTTGGTTTACAAGGTAGACCCTATTAATATAAATCTACAATTATTTACAAATCTTGGCACTCTTATCTTGGTGTTTGGGTTCTGTTGGTTTGAATGCTCCAAAGATACATACTGTATAAATAAGATGTATTGTTTATATTTCAGAAATGTATCAATGCACTAGAACAAGTTAAAGCTAGACAAGTAAGATTTCTCTTTGATTTGATTAAAGATAAAAAACTACTAGAAATATTTCAAAAATATTGCAAATCTGTGCTCAGAACAATAGAATTGATGGATGTACAATCTAGATTATATGCTTAATGATGGTAATTTTGTAGATGGCTCAATCATGATATTTTGATTGAAGTTAAGTTAGCTACTGTTTGATTGAAGGCAGTGTAAATTCTCTTGCCATTTCTACAAGACTGACACAAAAACTAAAGATTGATAAGATAATGAATTGAATGATTATATATTTTGCTCTTTTTTTAGTTTCATGAATGGAATTTTCAAAACGTCACAATATTCAAAGATGCATTTCATTTATTTGATATTCATTCTTGTTTCTGTGATCATTTTCTACAATTGCATTCAATTTGAAATGTATGCCCAATCTGATTAAAATAAAGATCTGAAGTGTTTCATTTTGTAATTTTCTGCAGGCTCTTTTTCTGTGATCTTCCTAAAATCATGCTTTGTAGAATAGTACCAGTATCAAAAGTTTTCATTAAGACTGATCAATCAGAAACACTGTTAAAATACAGAGTAATTGATTAATGAATATAAAATTACCCAGAACATGAGATGCATTACAATTTTGTCAGATCATGGATGACAACTGGATTCACCTGCAGAAAATACATAAAACAAAACATCCAGATTTGCATTTTATTAAATTGCCATGCCAATTCATTTGCTGCATGATATATTTAATTTTGTTGAATGCACAATTAATACAAGAAGTTTTTGAATCACCAGACTGTTATATAAGACAAGAATGATATTGACACCTGTATTGTTCATGTATTTCTTTCTCTACTATATTAGATACTTTCATTTTGTTTATTTCTATTAATGTTGTTTCTGTTTGAGTTTATGCTATGTTTTTTTTATTGATTTTTGCTAACACTAACTAGCATGAAAAATCTTCTGTTGTAGGGCGAACCCATCTTGATTTGTAACTCGGGTGATACAGACACTCAATCACAAGCCAATAAGAGTGTCTCTGTACCATTAGCTATTGATTGTTTACAAGGCATTCTGACTTGTATTCCATTACAATTGCTCTCACTTCATATAGCTGAATTACGAAAGTTGGATGTAAGCATGATCTTCTCAACTGTTCATAGCATCAGTTATAACATCATAAAGTCTGGTTTTGCTCTTTACTTATAATTTTCGATCAGTTTCATATTCTTGTCATTGTCGTTAATACCTGGTGAATTTTACAGAGATGTAAGACTTCAGGAAATGGGTTACAGATTTATTTATTTTCCGGATAAGCAGCTCGAAACGCTTCGATGTCTACGCGTCCTAAAAGTTCCAGATTGTATATTACGATAAGCTAAATTCTTTCAAAATGTCAATATGATAATATTAGAAATCTTTAATTTTGAATATGAAAATATCCAATTTGTATCAACTGTCTTAAATTCCTGAAAGCAATTTAGTCTGAGTATAATCATATCAGGACATTTTGGATACTAATATTATTATTTTAAGGGCTCATTGTTTGACCTCTTATAAAGAAAAGGATATTAGACTGGTCACATATTATAATACTGAAATAAGACTTTATCTACTGATGCTATTCAGAACTATATATTGCATGATGCTTTGGCTCAATTCTGTGTTGGGATTTATATACGTATTTATATTGTGGTTTTGTCTTTTATGTTTATATCTTTCTTTTGACACTATACTTATTAAAACAAAAATTTATTGGAATTTCAAAATGTGATTTAAATTTTTATTTTTGCAAAAATTATGCTGAGAGTAGTCTTTACAAATGATTTACAGTTTATATTTAAATGAAATCAATATTAAATCATTTGAAATTTCAATCAATTTTACATATTCACTTTACTAATCAAACCCCTCACTTGATCTAATTTGACTCTTCCATCTTATTAATCACTCTATATGGAAATATTGATTATTCCATTTGTAGGGATGTCCAATATTAATTTGTAATAGTGATGATGCAGAAACACAGATGTTAGCTTATAGTCACCTGGCCATACCTCACACTGTAGATTGTCTACAAGGAATATTGTCAGTTGTTCCTTTACAACTTCTTTCCTTTCATATGGCAGTTTTAAAAGAATATGACGTAAGAACACCAATCACAATTTTTATATGTGTAGATTATGTCCTTGACCTTAGAAACTATATATTATGTGATTTAGGCACATGCATTTTGAAATCGTAGAAACAGTCAATATTTATTTTGATGTATTGACAACAGATATGTGAGATAAGGAATAGAAGAATAGGGACCTATTTGAAATCATTATCCTTGATGAAGAACCAAATTGACAAGAACTAATCTCTCACTGTAGAAACATTATTCTGGATGATTGATACACAATTTATTGATAGACAAGCCTCAATGAATCATTGGATAAAAGCATTTTATTGGTCATAAATTCTCAGCTTGGTAATTTACAGGAATCCAGTCTTCTAACTATTATCTTTAACAAATGATAGAGCTATATGTTAGCTCCTGATGTAACAAATGATAGAGCTATATGTTAGCTCCTGATGTAACAAATATTTAAACATGCATTTATATTATATATATTATATTATAATATGCCTTTTGTCTGCTGGGTTAAATTAATACAAGTAATATTAAGACTGATCATTTAGATTTTATTATCAGATTTAGAATAGAAGTATTTAAGACAGTGACAGGTTCTTATGTTTGATATTATACAATTTGTATAAATATATGTGCTCAAACGACTTGCGGTTTCATGATATCATATTATTTGTGTGACAAGTAAAATTCACATAATGACTTGGACATACTATTTACATTGGCAAGCTGAAAAAGATGTAAAAACACAAGCTTGGCATTATCTTTGAATTACATTGCATTTGTTAATAAAAATAGAATGATCAGTTTTAAGTGGGTTATTATATTTTGGTTATATCTTACTGGTTATAAGGAATGAATGTATTTTGTTATCATCTAAACACCTGGTTCACTTTTCATTTGAGTTTGTCAGCTCAGTAGGTTACATTATAAATGTCTTTGATTTGTCTAAAGAGGGCTTTTACTTATCTCTCTATTTCAAGTCAGGTCTGATGCCATTCTTCAACTGGGTTTACCAACTGAGTAGACTATCTCTTTCAGAGACTCCATGTGGCTCATATTGTTTATTTCATGCATACTTACACTGAATTAGCCTCTTTTGAATTAATTTCACACATATTAAAACTTGCCCAAAAATTCTAAATTTTCTGACTATCATTGAAGTTTTTTTCACTTTATTCTCAGTTTTGTAAATGTTTATTTTCAAATTTAAGAACAAGTGAAATAAAAAAGTGAGGAACAATGAAATATATATCATTCCTTTTTATCAGTTATTTATATGAATGTTTTGGTAAGGAACAGATTATGTTTTTAACACCATCACAATAGACATAGAGTATAATATGAAGCTTATCAAGCTTTTCAATGCTTAATGCTTCATCTGTTTTAACAATGTCTACAAATTGGACCAATTATATTAAGCTTTCTTTCATCTCTATCAACTACCTACAGCTGCAAAAACATCTTCTTCCAACCATATGTTAAATTTCACTGATATTGACTCTTGATATTGTTGTTTGGGTCTGTTTTATTGTCTGTTTGCTCTGACAGTATCCTACATTATATTATATTTTACATGACCAAGAAAAGTTTTAATAATCTTGATATAGTACACTAGAATTGAACAAAAAATACATGATTGCACTAAAATATTTCAAATCGATAAAAAAGTAACTTCTGTAAGCTTAAAGTTTTCTATGTATCAGTATTTTCTGTTTTTAACTGCATGATTAAAGTTTGAATAATTGTTTTTGTAGGTCGATTGTCCGCGTAATTTAGCAAAAAGTGTGACTGTGGAATAAAAAACAGAAGAATTGCAATGTAAGATAATCGTATCTTGTGTCAGTTATAGAAATTTTATGGCTTCTATTTTGTTCACATTAAGTTTTTTATTTTTTTAGATTTATTATAATTATGTCTCTATCATTCATTTTTTTTAAATTTGAATATTTTATGGTCTTTAATTTAAATAAACTTACTTCTAAATGTTGCTTTCTTGCATTGCCTAACTGCTTAACCCTGCTTATTGCAAGCATTTGAAGAGATAAATAATTTGCAACATTTTTTCTTATATTTTTAATTGATTTACCAACTTAAAATTAGTAATTCTTTAAAAGAAATAAATACAAATTATTATTATGCAATTTAATTTTTTTTTTAAAATGTAGCCTAGTTGATTATTGTAGGAATACAATCATTGAATAATTGCTTTAGAACCCGAGAGAGCTCTTCAGTCATCAATATCACTTTTCAGTATTAAAATCAATTACCCAGTTCAACAAAACCCACACCAAATATGACTGTCATCCTGTTGTTAATCTTATTAGCAGTTTTTAACAACATCATTAATATAAAACTACTGATGAGAAATGAGATAGTTTACATTGATGCAGTACATGTACATCTGTGATGAATTGTATGGGAACTGGAAGTCAGATTTTAATTCTGAAATGTGCCAAGGATAGCTGACAATGCAGTGGAAGCAAACATTTAAATGACGTTATCTCTATAATAACTGTAACATTCTAAAGTCTTTTTTGTCTTCTAATTTTAGATGGATCAACCTCGCCATTTATTAAAGACCTATGCAAGCACTATGGGTTAACAACATGGAATTATCATCGTATTTTAACTGCTGTCATTTGTCATGGATACATTGTTTAATTTTTTATACTATGTAATACGAGTTCTGATCTGAGGTCCAAAAGTTGTTGCCATATTTATACAGATAGGGCATCATCAACATGTAATTTACACTGAAGGTTTATTAGGCTGTATATAAAAATAAATTTGTGAAGTAAAAACCGTTGAATTTTATGGTCAATCGATCTCAATTTTTTTTATCAATTTTATTGAAAAATACTTGTTTTTGTTGATGTCCCAGCCAAAATATTTCATTTGAATTGATATGAATTAAAACAAGCGATTTAGATGAGCATTTTTAACAGCAGGGACGAACTATGTGTGTTCTTCTTCCCTTATGAACTTGTATCAATTGCTTTAGAAATATTGTAAATAAGAGTTTGAATATATAGTATATAGGCATATTTAATATATTTGGGGAACATATTCTATTCTAGTGGGATAAATTAATTGTATATACAAATCATATTTTATTTGTTATATTTAACAAGGGATGCTGGTTATACCTTTTTTAGTAGCCAGATTGACAATTTGACAGGTTGTTAATTTTTAAAATTTAAAAACATCAATTTTTATGTTGAATTTAGTATTTACACCCCATTTCTTTTGGCATTATTATAAGCCAGCAACCAATTCTTTTTTTATGTAATGAAACTATTGAAAGAAGTATACATAATATTCCTTTCTTTGCACTTAACCTCTTCAGATTTTTTTTTTGTATTTTAGGCTTCACTAATAATGGACCAAAATATATTCTGTGATATGCTTTTAAATCATTTCATTTTGGAGTTTTATATTTTTATGTTTATTTCCTCTAGTTTCTTCAATGTAAGAAAGGGAAATGCCAAGATTGCCAAGTTGAGGATTCATATTGTCCAACATACCTTAAAACCATAGCATAAGTCTTGGCATTCTCTTTTGATGTACCTTTGCTTAAATGTATCATTTTACAAGCTGAACAAATCAGATAATTCATGTTTTATTTACAGTTTGATTCATCCTATTCTCACTGTGTTTTAATCGCACATCATATACATGGTTGTAATGATATTAAATTGGTCTATATTTTATGATTTTCTTCATTCATATTTCCGTTAAAGTTTTGTTGTTTGTTAAGCTGAGGCAGTGTATGATCAGGAAAACTTCTTGATAGTGACAGGTTACTATTTATTGACTTTAAACTGAGGGATCAGTAAAATGTTTGTCTCAGAGAAACCTCCTGCACGAAAGGTTAAAACATTTTAGGGGCTATATACCACAGATTGTCATCAATTATGTCTTTTAATCAGAATTCTTCATGTTTATATAAGAAATAGTTATATTGGTAATAATGTAATATAAATATATTATCACAATTAACATATAAATATTTACAGAATATCAAATAAACACACATAAATAACATCAGGACAGCTAGAGTTACATTGAGATCCATCCCAAGATAATATAACTGTTTTAAATATCACATTTATACATAATCAATTCAAATCATAAATATATACCATAAATAGTGATGGAGACTGTGAAAATCAGAGTTATGTGTACATATAACACTGATTATTTTGTACCTAGATGTGCACAATATCGTAGCTCAACTATACTAGTCTCAGAAAATGTACAGATTGACCATTCATGAATAAAGTCTATAAATGGCAATTATCAATTGTAAGCACAATATATAGGCCCAGCTTTATGAAACAACAATCACTGGTTAAAGTTTTATGTAACGTTTCGACGACAGGGGGAAACACGTCAAAAACGTTACATAAAACTTTAACCAGTAATTGTTTTCTACAAAGCTGTGCCTATATATTCATGAACAACATGTCACATAATCACTATAGACTGGTTCTTATGATGAATTCCTGATAGACTATAGTAAAAAAAAAAAAAAAAAATGTGTTATTCAGCAAGTAAAGCTGTTTCTATGGCAGCATCAGCCCCAGCAGAAATAGAATCTTCATCTTTCTGAAAAATTTAGAAATTAATAAAATGTAAGGGTTATGGTTGGGTAGTTTGAATTTAAGACGTTAGGTAATGAAACGAACCTGTAAAATTGCTCTTTTCCCTTTCTTGTATTATTGAAACCTAGTACTTAAAACATTTTTAACAAGATTCTTCATTTCCAGGTTTACATAACATTTAAAGTTTCTAAAATTTTGTGCTGTTTGTCATAGAAGATCAAACAGATAAAACCAAAACTTCCTATTCTGTAATTTAAAATCGTTCTACTTACTTTCTGTTCAAGTATAATAAGATTACTTAATCTTTTTACTTCTTTAGGTTTTGTCATTAAAACAGCTTCTCGTTTCTCATGTTGCCGTACTATTCTCTGTTGTTGATGAACATATGTTGCACTTTCTTTCAGATTCTTATTATACATTCTGAAATAGAGAAAAGCCATGTGCTATTTATGGAAATTTCAATAACAATTAATAAAAACCAATGATTGTACTGAATGTGCTGTTACATGTCATATCATTAAGTCAATATGACAATATTCTCTTCAAGTAATATTCGATTCAGAATAGTAAGTCATGTACACAATCAAACTATGCCAGAATTGAATCTAGGACTCTATTTCTGAATCACTTTGGTTTCTTTTTTGTGTTTTTATTTTTTCATCATAAAAATCGCATATGCCAAATTCATAACCAATAATATAGATAATACTTACTCTTTAAATTTCCGTTCTATATCTTTAATATTTTTAAATGATTCGTGTATAACATCTCTATAAGTTGGTTGATCTAGGGTACATACTGGTAAAGGAATTAAATTAAATCTTTCGTTGGTGTAAATTTTATCATAATTAGTTTTTTATGGATACTATTTTATCAGTTAAGACAATGGATTACAGATCACAGACACACTATTGTTTTGTGAAATGTATTAACATATTTTTCATGTCTTCAGTTTTCTTAATTTCTAATAATTATATATTGAGTAATAAAATATACAGTTTATCTAGCCACATATTGACTAGATCAAATGCATAGAGGCTTTTTTTGGTAAATTGCTCTTCAAGATCAATGTCTGAGTCTGATGTTCTCAAATGTGCATGACATGACAAAAGTAATTGCACCCAAACTAGATTTCTAACTAAATATTAATTGTGAAAAGGATATGAAGGGAGATTCTCTAACTCTGTTCTCTGTACACGTACATTATATCCACTCTTAGTTGACAGTTGTTTCATCCTCAAGAAATGAGTCACCAGTGGACTTTGACCAAATATATTGAATGACGTTTTAATAAAATCAGGTCCTTTACATGCTGGATGTGACTGAAAAAATAGAAATGTGTTAAACCTTCATTTTATACCAATTATTTCATAATGTAGATTAGCCTGATTTGGATATCAATTTAAATATACATAGTTAAAATAGGATAAACTAACATTCAAAGGAAAAAAAGAGATGGTGTTTTTATAAAAGTGATTCATTTTACTCCAACTGTGACCAGTAATGATAATTAATAAATGCCAGAATAAACACTCTAAACTTTGAGCCAGCAACTTCTTATGACAATATGTCCTTCATAATGTATCATCAGGAACAGGTGATTGTATGGAGTATAATTTAGATTAAATAGCATTCGCTGAAAAGAATAAAATGGTTTAATACAAAGTAATAATAATACCTCTATAACATGCCGACTGTTTAATTCTTTCAAAAGATCTGAAGATAATCTAGACATAACATTTTTCTCTGCATTTTCATCTCCCTCAATCTCTCTAATAGGTGTCAATGTTTCATTATTTTTCCTCAATTCATTAATTGATTTTTGATGGTTCAATGATTTTCTAGCAGAAATCTGGGCCTTGGCAACTGAATCAATAACCTTGCTGGTATCACCATTTGGAGACGGTGACTCCTGTCGGTGACTGATATGACTGCCACGATTTGTTGAACGTTGATTACGATTGTGCTTATTGATCCAGGATAAGGAAGATTTTGATCCAGACTGACTAAGGGAGGTAACCGAGCCACCATCACTGGTATGACGTGAGATCAAACTATCAAGATAATCTAAGTTCAGAGCTGGTGCAGCTGTAAAAATTTCAAAAAAAAAAAACGGCTACTATTTTGAGACTTTCAACTATCAAGGCAATATCTGTGATGATATCAGGAACTTTAGACTTTTAGGTTTGTTGACTCCCAACAATATTACAAGTTGAATCAACTTAAATACATATACTTACATTTTTTGTTATTCTGTGGTAGCATTTCATCTCTAGATTTTATATTTGGTGGATCAAGTTTATCGAAATTCCATGTAGCCCAAGATCTGGGCGCTAATCTTATACCTTGAATAAATAAAATAAAAATATATAAAGTTCTATCTAATGAAAAGGAGCATCTCAAAACAGTATACTGTGAGGAAATCTCTTAACATTCACAACAGTCTTAGTCTCTTGAACAAGACACAACAAAAACCTGATGAAAGTAATGGAGTTTTACGTCCTACTCTTCTGCACCTAATTGGGCTAATGAAGACGGAAGACACAACAGTGTTTCATTCCAAAGAATATGACTATGGCCATCTGCTTCAGACTCTCAAAGCAAGTAAAAACCATCTCTGCATCAACCTGGGAATATGAAATAAATTTAAAAGCCTCATACCTGCCATCCATTCTGATACTAAATTTACTAACTCATCTTTAAAATCTTCACCAAACTGACGATAAGAATCTTGAAACGCATGACAAAATGAGACATAGATTGCTTGTGCCATCAAAATGGGGTAGTCCTGAAATAGATTAAATATTTTAGATTTTCACATTTTCCAGTCCTATGGCTTTACATGGCATTAATTAGCTTCAGAATAAGCATTTAATATCATAATTCATTCAACAATCGGCCTGATACTGACTTGACAATTCCAAATCATATTACCTTCATATCTTAGTCAGTTGATGTCTGGGTTCAAACTCCATAGTAAATAATAGCTCACCTTAAAGAAAGTTTCTTTATAAACTTTTATCTTACAATAAATAAGCAGTTTAACATAATTATGTGATATTCTGTTAAATAATTTTGGTTGTGCTGTACACCCTGGTTGATATTTCTCAAGGAAAAAATACCAAAATATATCCTACAAACATTCAATACATAACAGTAATTAATCAAAATCAAAAAAATGTAATATTACATTCACAGAATAACACAGTTTCTCATTGATATGAAAAACGATACTTTTACTAAACATTACGTATTAGAGGATGAAAGCCAAGCACTGGCACAGAAATCAGAATTTTTCTAATCGTCTTGCAGACAACAATCTCACTAGCTATCCCACTGTAAGGTGCAACATGTAAAATGTCTGTCAAAACTCAAAGCAGGGCATAAAAGGAAAGCTTATAGTAGAATGTCAGACGAGTTTAATAATCAATTATTCTGTGCAATTGGTTACTGTGGTCTTTGAATGGCGGTGAGCATTTTACATGTTCGAGTATTATAGCAAATTATAGTACTACTGTACCTGTAATATAGCTTGTGACATTCTCGAATAAAACAATCTTTCAAATTCAGGACGATATCTTGGCTGAAAACATAATTTGGTTATCTCTGTTATTTTTTGTCATTATTTACATTGCACAACATATTTTATCATCATTAACTTGCATTCATCTGTTTATTTATCTCATTAAATACAGGACAATGTCTTAACAGCATCATATATATAGACCTATCTGACCTTCACATATGGATCTATGACATAACATACCTTTTTATGTAGGTCCATACTAGCCTGTGCTACAATACTTAACATATCAATTGGGTCTATATCACAGGGCAATGGTGTTATTTCATTTTTATCATATCCAGGATATTGTTGAAGCTAAAATTAAAGAATATACAGTGAGTTAATGAGAGAGGTAAGCTATGCTTTGAGGAGAACCATCTTTGGAACTGTATGAAGAAGGGGTAATTAAACAGTTATTGTGCATATAACCTTCTTTGGTAGTCTTTCTGCTTAACATTATGTTTTTTTTTTCATTGAAATTATACAGTAGCCTTGAATTTCTAATATCATAAGCTTATTCTTTAGACCGTGGCTATTCGCACCACGACGGTACAGTTGATTATAAATGGGCATTAAAAAACATATGGCCATCCCTACCTAACCCTAAAAAAGTCACTTAATATCATTCTTGACAATCAAATTGGCTTCACGCTTTAAAAACACCAAAAAATTAGCCCGCCTGTTGTGTCCTATCTTATCCGTACTGTTGTTAGCAGCCATAGAGAAACGCATCATGACAGTGTAAATAGCCAGTGCATATGTTTAACAACATTTTAATTTTACTCACTTCAACAAACTTTGGCTTTCCTGAATCTTTACTTTTCACCTGTAATAAAATGATTGAATGAAGTGTGTAAGATCGAATAAGAATAAGATTAAGCTTGATAATATGTAATGCAGTGAATATGAATAGCCATTTTACCATAGTTCAGAAATTCAGCAGAAATATAACAATGTTACAGGCCTGACACCCAATACTAAAATACTAAATGATTATTTTTTAACCAGAAGGAATCACCAAATACTGTCACAGTTTGAGAGCTTGCACATTTCACAATTTTGACCGAAACTTTGGAACTGATTTTGTAGTCATACATATGATTTGAAAATCTCAAGTTTTCTTCATATTATATATATGGTATACTTACGGAAGAAATTTTACTGGGATTCATACTGATCTTGGAGATATTTTTAGCTCTTGTACTTAATCCTGGTACAAAGGCTGAAAAAAGTGAATTATACCGAAATATCAAAATCTTGCATTAATTATCAAATGACAGTTTATGCCTGAAATTCTTGTAAGTTATTTGCTAACAGGAACATCACCAAAAAAATACTTACACGATTTCAGGGTATAATAACCAGCAAACTTCAAAACTTCTTTATTTTCTTTATCTTAAAAAAGGAATAACAATTACATGTGTGTCAATCACAAGGAGATAACCCACCAGTACCTGTATCCAAACTGCAATCTACAATTAAATGACTTGACTCATTCTTAAATGAGACAAACAGGTGTTTCATTTATAGTAGGTATACAGCTATTCTTCGTTTATCAGATAGAGTTAAACGTTCCACCAACTTTAACACACTTCAAAAATAAAAATCTTATACAAGCATATGGTCTTTTTCATCGAAGACAGTGTCACTTTCGAATGGAAGATTGAAATAATATGATTTGTCCGTGACAATAGCTTCTAATTTGGTCAACTTTCTCTCTTGTCTCAAAAAATCGTCATGAATTCTAGATACCAAAAGATTGACCTGTTCTTTAATATAATTTTTCATATCATCTCGAAATTTATTTTGAAGAAAGTTTTTAATCACATTCACTTCTTTTTCTAATTCGTCCGTGATTTTAGTATCCAAAGCAGTCAATTGTCGTTTCAACGTATCTTTGTCTATGGGAAGTGTGTTAATTATATCTTGAACATCTGATTTTTGCTTTGCGATCTTTTCGTTCAAACTGGATATCGAATTTTGTAACTCAGTTTTGTCCGCGGTCTTGTCTAGTTCTGCTAGCAATTCGCCAAGTTTTCTTTCCAAAGCGGTTAAATTACATTTCAATCTATCCTCGTTTACATTTGGGTTGTCTATTAAACGTTGGACGTCTATTTTTACGTTCGTAATCTTATCGTCTAATTTAGATATTGAATTTTGCAACTGACTTGTTTTATCCACTTGAATAAGACGTTTCAAACTCGTTAACTCTTGTTGTAGTTTAAGTTCGTCCACAAGATTTTTAATATTTCGTCTGAGGTATCTTTTCACGTCATTTATTCTATTTTCAACATGGTCCTTATCTATTGCGTTTATTTGATCCAGTTAATATTTCTTGTTCACGGCATCGTTATCGTTTCCTGGAAACTTTAAATTAGTTATTTTGAAATTGTTCATATCGATATCTCCTTGTAAGGTGTCTCCGATTTGATCCACGAAAAAAGGTTTCGCTTTGTTTATAAACGCCGTCATGGGATTTTTGGATTCTAGAGGTAAAGACCCTAATCCAAACTTGTTTGCCATTTTTATTGAGTTCAATTTATTATAATTTCTTTACCCGATTTGTTTTTCAAGGGAAAGACCCAAGCGTATCTCTTGTATATGTCGATCACCGTCAAACAATACTTGTACCCTCTCTCGACTGGCATGTTGATTAAATCGGCTGACCAAATTTCATCTTTATCAAAAACTTTGACTTTGAGGTAATGTTTGTTTTTTCGAAATTCTTTGTGAATCTCGTCTGCTATGCCCATACCCAATTTCAATTTTGCCTTCAAGAGTTTTATGATAAGAGCCCTCTGTAATTTCTCTTTGAAAGTGGGATTGGGAATATTTTCGAGTTCGTCTATCATTTGTTTGTCTGCATGGTGTCTGAATGTTATGTCTTTGTTTCTGTACAGTATGTCGTGTTTGAGCGCTGTTGCGTCAACTTTATTAACGGGTTCTTCCCCTGGTTTGGGATTATCATTTTCGTCCAATCGTAGATCTAACCTAGTGCCTGGACCTGTATAATTGTGACCTGGGAGATGTTTTTCTCCGGGATATTTTGCCCATGGGAATCCAGGAAGAGAACCCAATGACTTTTGAATGTCTCCCGCACCGAAATACGTTTTAGGAGGATAGACATTTATTAAAGACATATTTGTTCAATAAACACCATATATTTTTAATACGAAAGATTTAATACAAGGGGGAAATTTGTTGTTTGAGACAAAATTGGCCACTTTGGGGATGAGAGATGTTAGCGCAGAGAAGAAACCGTCTCCTTCGAATTTTTTTTTTTTGTGTTTTAAAATTAAAGACATTTTTCATGCGGTTATTTTATACTGTATTATTTTTTAGTGATTCTTGTCTGAGGTTTGGGGTAATTTATAATACAGTTTGGAGGAATCTGTTATGATATATTTTTTTAACAGTTTGGGAAGTCTGTTATAATACATTTTTTAACAGTTTGGGGAAGTCTGTTATAATACATTTTAACAGTCTTTTCGGATATGACGCATTGAAAAAGCTGCGCAGAAGTGAAATGCGTCATATCCGAAAAGACATATACCTACCATCTCAAAAACCGGATCAAACTGGATGCGCTATATCAGAAAACACATATACTACTTAAATCAAATAAACATTAAGTATTTTACAAAACCTTACAGACCTCTTTTGAGATAGCGATCCCTTCCTCTGGCTGTAACTGGTAACTCATCTTGTGTTGTGGCACTATAGTTCGAACTTTGACTTTCACAAACCAATTCTGTATATTTTTGAAGTTGTCTGTCTAGTTTACTGATCTTCACACTCACATCATCAATTGTACCAATCAAAAAAGCTGTTTAGGTTAAGATAAATGTTGTTTAAATTGAAAACTGCAAATTCATTAGAACAATTTTGTTGATTAGGCTCAGTTTGAGAGTATTATGTAAACTCCAAGAAAATGAGAGCTTGATGAGTGAAACAATTACTTAAAACTATATAACTCTCTAACTCCTTACATTAGAAAACTTGAAACTTGCTCCCTTGTCTTCTTTAATGAAAGAATCAGGTATGAAGACTTAACTTCACTTCCTTGGAGTTATTATACATTCTCACATAGAGTTAATACTAACAATAAGCTTTTGTAATATAATAGTAACATCCTTTAAGTATCCAGTCAAAACTACCACTGTACCGGTATGTTATTCATTAAATTGCAGGAGAACTGAAGGTCATATTTTCATTGTAAGAAGTGCAAGTAAAAAACACATATTTAGAGGACTACCATCTTCAAAGTTATTCATATTGAAATCTCTAGAAACATTTTGAAAGATTCTGAAGCAACTAGGGAAGTGTTGCATGCCAACATATAAAGGAAGATGCCCTGTACCTTTTATGAAAGTTTCACTAAGCATATTGAATCCACAAGGCTCCATTTTTTTACTGTACTAGTAGATATTTGATTATGAGAAATGAATTCTGACTGAACCACCAATTGTTAATAAATAGTCAGCAGCAGTTTTACAAACATACTTCTGAAAGTGAAGAGTTTGTCCACGCAAAAATCATGTCATGTATATTTTAATACAGCATTAGATGTCGGAAGGTCAACTTATACAGTCCAGTAACCTATTTTCGTGCTAACCTATTTTTCGTGCATTTCCGGAAAGGATTAATAATTTACATGTGCGACCTCGCATGACCTCCGCATTTGCTTGTTTTGATAAAAATGGGTTATCTGTACAATGTCAGCTAGTAGAATGAAAACAGTAGTTTCAAGCAAGGTAAAATGTATTAATGTATACTTTGACAAATACAAAATGGCGGATTTCAGTTATTACCAAACATCACCATTTTTTATCGGAAAAATTTCCTTATAATCCCTTACTGTAATCGTAATTCCAAGTGTCGTCTGCTAGAATGTAGTCCAACGAATGAAGTCACATGATCAACTAGCAGATTCCATGTCAGCAGAAAAATTCTATGGAACACAATGTCGGGCATATTCTTATGTTGTTTCAATGACTTTTAGCAATAAATCATGCTAGCTTATTTTGTCAGTTGCTATTTTTTTTTAAATCGTGGTTCTTTGAAGGAATTGTCACTAGTTATAATGAAATATCATTAAAGATAAATACTAAGAGAAGTTAATTATACCGCTGGGTATCCATACAATGTGTTTTTCTAGACTTATTCATAGATCAAACATAGAACACGAAAATAGGTGACGCATTTTGCCGTCGTTGTCGAGTTGGTTGCTTATGAAATATGGGTCAAAGTGAGGGATTCATAAAGAAAATCAAAACAAACCAGTTTTAATTATTTTGTAGGATATGAGGAAACATCTAAGACATAAATTTTTTTTCTCCGTTTTTAACTTGACGAAAATAGGTGTTGAATCCTTATATGCACGAAAATAGGTTACACCACTGTACAAAGGACTTACATATAATATGTGAGCGCAGCTCTCTCGACGGCAAAGCAAAGCTCTCTATAATGGTAACACATACATATACATCAATTCGTTTTTGAAAATTTATGCCCCACGGGTAGTCAAAAAAAGTGAGAAAAAAGATGGCGGATCATGGGGGCCGCCATGTTTGTTATCAACTAGATCGCAATGATGGCGGCTTTGCTGACACCTTAAAGAAATTAGATTGGGTTGAATTTCTTTTATTTAATTATTATTAATTATTATTATTTTATCAATAACCTGCGCTCTCATTCAAGGCCATGCCTTCATTCATATTATCACGCATAATAAGCCCAGTTTACACGTTAAAAAGGAGAATGTCCCTTTAAGTCTTACTTAGAAACTTTGTTGAGTGTTGTTATGTGTTGTTTATATGTATAATAATATAGGCCTATGTACACTGTACATAGATTCTTCCATTTGACATCCCTACAAAATTACTAAAAATTGCCAATCATGAGTAAAAATAAAAGGATACGGGAACGTTTCCCTTGCTTTGCTCTCAAATCCCGTTTTCTTTGATCGATGACACCTTGAGATTCTGTTAAACTTTCATCACAAATATCCATTGGAGTTCCAACACGATTGATGTCCGCCATCTTTGTTTACCTCAGATACCAATAGACAAAGCTACATAATTTGATTTCGAACAACATATATTTCCACACGAACTTCAATAGAAATTATTGTTAAACAAAAAATGACACCAAAATACCGTATTTTTTAAAGATAAAACCCTGGTGTCCTCTGCGTAATAAAAATCGGTAAACGTTCTTTGGATGAGAAGCTGGCAATTTTAGTTTCGAATGATGCACTAGTGTTATTGTCTCCCTTTATTTATTACAAAACAGTGAAACAGAGAAAGTGAAATAGCAAGTTTCAATAGGCTATTCTTTTAGTTGATCAGTTGCAATGTCTTTCTGCTTATGGAATTCAGGGGAACACTACAAAGATCATTTTGAACAGGGTAGCAAAGATATATATTTTTTTAAACGATTCTGAAACAGCCCTCAATTTTATGTGATATGGAAATCGTGTTGAATTTCAGTGGTGTAACCTATTTTCGTGCATTTAAAAAAAAATTATAAGGATTCAACACCTAATTTAGTCAAAGTTAAAAAGATTTTTTTTTTTATGTCTGACATGTTTCCTCAGATATTCTACAAAATAATTAAGATGTTTTGTTTCGATTTTCTTTATGAATCCTTCACTTTGACCCATAATTCATGAGTAACCAACTTGACTATGGCGGCCAAATGAGTCACTTATTTTCGTGTACATAGTTTGATCTATAAATAAGTTGAGAAAGACACGTTGTATGGATACCCAATGGTATAATCAACTTCTCTTTATCTTTATCCACTGCCAAAATTCCTATATCTTTTGTCTGCTAATAGTTATCGGTAGGGTTAAATGTCCATGCACTACAGCTTGGATAGGATTTCATTTTAGTGTGTTAGTTGGGTTAGAAATTCCCCCTGCAATTCATTTTTATATGCTCACATGAAATGGAGGGCGTATATTGTCGTCACCCATGTCGGTCCGTCCACAATTGCTCATAAACACTCTACAATTGACACAATTCTTAACGGATTTTGACAAAACTTGTTATAAGTGTTCGTAATGACGCAAGGATGAACCCTATTAAAAATCATAAGAATCGAAAAATATTAAGTATAAGATATTGCCCTTGTTCTTGAAAACGCGTTCAATTGTTAGCTTGTAAACATTCCAGAAGGCAATTCTTGACGAATTTTGACAAAACTTGGTATGAGTGTTCATAATCACCCAAGGATGAACCCTATTGAAAATCATAAGAATCTAAAAATATTTAGTACCGGTATCAGTTATTGCCCATGTTCTTTCGAACGCATTCAATTTTTAGCCTGTGAACACTCTAGAAGACACAATTTTTGACGAAATTTGACGAAACTGTGAGTTGATTAAACTAGGATTTACCCTATCGAAAATCAGAAAAATCTAAATATATTTAGTATCAGTTATTGCCCATGTTCTTTAGAACATATTCAATTTTTATTGAATTGGTAATCATTGGTAATGTTGGTAAAGCGTGCTTAAGCATTGGCAACGTTCGTAAAGGTGTTGGTAACTTTCACCAGGTCCCCTTCCTTCTTACCACTGTTGCCAATATTACAAATGCTTTGCCAACGTTACGAAAGTCTTTGCTTACCAATACTTTACCAATAATTTAGAGAATTTGTTGCAAACACTTGCCAATGTTTACAAACGCTTCCGAATGGATTGCCAATGCTTATGAATGGTTAAAAATGGTTGCGAATGTTTTTTTCAGTGTGCCATTAAGAATATATTCGCCACAGTGTGAGACTAGCATTAGGTTTGATATCTTACAAGTTTCTTTCAGTATTACAGTAATACTAATATTACTTTTACTAGAATCTTATTTCATTTCCCAGGTATTTATGTTTGTTCAAGTTGCGGTAATGAATTATTTCACAGTCACTCTAAATATGAGCATTCTTCTCCCTGGCCAGCATTTAATGAGTTAATAAGAGAGGACAGTGTTAGTAGAAAAGCTGAATCAAAGACAGCAATTAAAGTAAGTGGTCATGTTTTCATAAAGATGCATGCTTCATGAAAAATGAAATACATTTACTACTCAATGGAAACAAAAATGTATCTTATCAGATTTTTTTCTCTAAAATGATAACATAATTCTTCTTCATTTATTTAGAAAGGAAACTTAATTTGTTTAATATTTTGATAATAATAAGTTTATTTATTTGAACATAAGGCGAAATGCATATACAGTGCCTAATTTACAATATATATACAAAATATAATACGTTATTTAATCATACGCAATGCAGAACGTTTATACAGGTAGATAAATACAGGTAAATATGCAATTCACTAATTCACAATACTATATTTGGCTATATACAAAACGACTATATTTATCACAGACACAAGATAAATTAATTTGTTTCTGTTGTGGCCTACTATTTAACATAATTTGGTACCAGGATCCATAAAAAAATTTCTTCCATGGATTCAAATTTTTTTGTGTGTGATTTTTCTAGATTCATTGTGGTAAATGTGGAAATGGACTTGGACATGAATTCTTGAATGATGGTGAGAAAGAAGGACAGTCAAGGTTTTGAATATTCAGTTCCTCACTGAAATTTGTACCAAATGAAAGTAAGTATAAACTAGAGCCACTCGTGGCACAGAGTGGGACTTTGCAAATGTAGCAAATTGCAAAAGACCCCGAAAAAATCATCCTTCCACGATAATTAGATCAAGCGCAAGAACAGTCTAAAGTTGAGAAATTTTCATTTTTTTAGAAGATTCTGATACCGGAAGTAGACGTCAGACCTCACAAATGAAAGTATCAGCAGATAGCCAAGGTCAATGACCTTTGATCTTGTAAAAGAGAAGGTCTAAAAAGGTCAAGATCAAGAGATATACGTCATCAAAATTTCTAATTGCACACGACTATAAAACCGGAAGTTGACATAGGACGGCAAATATGAAAGTACAAATAGATAGCCAACGCCAATGACGTTTGATCCTATAAAGGTCAAGGTCAACAAAGGTCAAGGTCAAAAATTGAAAATTTGAATTTCCAAAACCTGTTCCTTTGTTTGAACTAAGAAGCGGAAACAACCGAAATTCTAAAACAGTGGCTCACAATATGAGGTAATTGTATGCAAAGTTCCATTTTGAACAAATGTATACTTTGCGAGTTATGCTCCTGGCCAAAAATATCAATAATGAGTATTATAACCCAGATGTGCCACGCCCACCTTAATTTTTTTTGCATAGGGTAATTGATATTCCAAATGTTATGTTGTGTTTTAAATTTCAAGCTTCTACATTATTCAGGTCAAAAGATATAGGTCAACAAATGTCAATAAAGGTCAAAATCGAAAAATGAAAATATCCAAATGTTAAAACCCGTTCCTTTTTTGAAACTATTAAGCTGAAACAACTGAGCTGTTAATACATACTGGCCAAAAGGATGAGGTAATTGTGTGCAAAGTCTCTTTTTGAACAAACGCATCCTATGCGAGTTATGCCCCAACCCCAAAATGTAAACAATTAGTAATTCAACCCGGATATGCCACGCCCACCCCAATTTTTTTTGTCATAGGTGAATTCATATTCAAAGTGTCTAATTGTATTCCAAATATCAAGGTTCTCCATAAAATAGGTCATAAGATATACATACACCAAGATCAAAAAGACACAAATATGGTAAAACAAAACTCAAATTTGAAAAAATCTCCAATTTCAATTTTGCTTTAAAAAAGCAATTGTTCTATATCTATGTAAAGTGCATGAAAAGCACATTAGGAAACCGAAAAAATTAACCCTCTAGGTTAATTAGGTCACGTGCTAGAGCAGTCCAAAGTTGCGAATTTGGCTTTTTACGGATAGTACATGTCGGGGGTCAAAGGTCAAGGTATCAAATGATAGCCAAGGTCAATGACCTTTGACCCTATAAAGGTCAAGGTCATCAAAGGTCAATGTCAAGGTTGAATATTTCATACTGGTGATTGTTACTGTACTGCTAAATATTTTTATTCAAAATCAAAGCTGCCAGTGGGCGTATATTACCTTGCCTGGCAAGCTATATTTGGATATGGAGCCATGTAAAATTCCACCTACGTGAAACGCATTTTTATAAATATATTTCTTGAGCAATGTTAGTATAAAAGCGTTCTTGGTTTATGTTTCAAGTCGCTATAACTGTTGCCAGGTTGAATTTCAAAATGGCTACTATAAGAAATCAGCAATTGTTGATATTTCTGGATCTATGTCAGCTTTAAACTCTCTTGTACTTTTTTGGGGTCAAGAAATAGGCTTACAAGTTTCAAGTAGCTACAACTGCTGCCATATTGAATTTCAATATTGCAACCATCAAAAATCTATAATTGTCAATATTTCTGAATCTGTCAGCTATTAACCCATTCTTGGTGGCTAATTCTACATTTTTGAGGTCAAGGAATACAATGATTCAAAAAGCTACAATTGCTGCTATGCATGATTCCAGAATGACCGCCATCATAAATCTATAGACATCAATATTTCTGGATCTTGATCAGCTACAAATTCCTTCTTGGTGGCTAATTCTACATTTTTGGAGAATCCCATGATGCATGTTACAAATGGCTACAGCTGTTGCCATGTTTAATTTAAGGATAGTCAAATCTAGACCTTTTTTTTTCAATGAGTTTTCCTGGTCTTGATCGTGAAATACATAATTCTTCATGTCAACATGTAGAGGAAGATGTCCCTTACCTTTTGTGAAAGTTTCAATGTGAAAAGTCACAATCGAAAAAAATAATTCTTAAATTGTTATGCAAGTATTTAAAATCTCGCAGTCTCCATTTTTACTGTTCTAGAAAATGGCGATTATGACTCAGTTTTGATTGGACCAATCGAATCAGCGGCCTCGTATCAATTATAATAGGATACTTCAAATTGTATGTTTTAAACGAATCCTTGGTGGCCAGATAAATTAATAGAATCTATATGAAGGGCTAAAATATAGTTTCAAGCATAATTAGCGTAATTCTTCACGTTGAAAATAAACTGGTCTGTCCCTTAAACCTATTATTTTGTTATTTATCTACACAGAAGCCACACAGAATGGTAGTACATGCAAAGGATTCCAGGGGGTGTATACATACTTATCTGGAAAATAGACTTTTCATTCTGGTCATTGCACTAGCCCAAGATGGGCCGCAACATACTGTGTGAACACTAGCTTGAGTTTGTGATAGGCAGGATTTGGTGCTACATAGCCGCATTAGGAGTGGCTGCTGATCTGGGACCTGATATGTCAAAGGCAATTACATTGTTCCATACTGTAACAGATTATGATACAGTATTTACAACTTGTTGTGCTTGATAACATCACTGAGTGGCTTTCATCTGTTGACCAAATGCTCCATTGCAAAAGAGTGGAAGTTTTCTTGCCCATTTTGAGCACATTTTTCACAGTCTCTGCTGCTGTTTGGCACCAGTAAGTCAGTACTGTACTCTTATCTTCAAAATGGATCTCCATCCCCATCAAAACTCTACTTGACTCAAAAGTAACTTGAAAGATATGTACTTGGGGTGTTAGGGTGTATTGAATTGGGTTATCACTCTCTTGTGCAGGGATGTTGATACATTTTTATTTCAACTTATTTTTGGTATTTCCTTTATAAAGATGTTGATTTTTCGATAGCTTCCACCAAAGGAGTACGACTTCCGTTTGAAAACTTTCAACCGCACACCCTTTAAGGGGAAATCTCATCATCTGGTCTAGTGTAGAGATAGAGAGACGACATCGCAAACGAGTCTTGATCAGATTCTGTCGTGAAAATCCTCTCTCACATTCTACAATAGATACCGGCAAATGCGTTCTATCATCATTACCTGAGTACAGTTAGGGAACTGGTCGGTTAATGATGATTGAACGAGAGTTTCCTATAATTTTCGAAAATCAGAGTCCTAAATATGGGCCATTCATGTCATAATCCGTCGGTGTCAATTGGCAATTTTCCTTATCAAAATGATTACTTAATCTCTCTGTTCTCCAGATCATCACTAACATTAGAGGACATGTTACATGGGTCAAACAGACTGAATGCTCCCAGAAGCTCATTGTCTGGAAACCTATTTCAATATTTTCAATAAATTTGGCGACAATATCATTAACCTTATTGAACAAATTTTTGTCATTTGCCGATCATTTCATAGGCTCATTTAAATATGTAACAGTATCCTCCATGAACTGTCTTAATTTTGGGCCATAAACGGGGGAACTGGCTTATAAGCTTTTGCTGAATGCAGGAATGCAGTTGAAAACATAAACTTATAAGTGGTTAGATGATCGTATAATGACGATGCAGTAATGTCATATTCGTAGGATTCGTCCAACATTTTAAATAGGGCTGGTAGTGTCTTCACGTTGTTGTCGATGGCTTGTGTCATCAATAACCATCGAACCTTGTGGACCTCACAGGGCTTCACTTTTGGTTGGTCCAAAACCTCCTGCCAAACTTTCAATTTTGAGAGATAGACGGAAGAATGTCGCCAATGTATTGAGCATAGACTCGTACTTAGCTATTTCAGGTATGTTTTTTGCAACGTCGACAATAGCAAGAGTGAGTCTATTAAGAAAGGTGATTTCTCTTTTAAAAGAGCATTACTGCTGCTCCATCCGAACCCATACCATAAATTTTATTGACATCCACATCATACAATTTAAATAAGGCAACCAAAGACTTGGTTATTGCATCTGCCAATGCATCATGAATGTCTATAAGTTTAAAAAACTTCGTTTTCAATGTACCGTCTTTCAATTAAATATATTAAATCAAATGTTTTTCACATGACAGGTCGGTTGATTCGTCCATCATTATGCCTATGCTGGGGCTATCATGCAATTCACTGATGAAATTTTCATTTAACACGTTTAAATTATCAGAAATTCACAGGCAGCATTTCAGTCACGGTACAATTTATTAGTGATTTCACTACCTATCTTGAAATTCAACATGGCAACAGTAACCACAGTTTATAACTTAAATCATTGGATTCCTTCATTCAAAATATATAAGAGCGGGTTTATAGCTGACCTAGACCGAGAAATATTTACACTTTTAGATTTTTGATGGTCGCTATTTTGAAATTCAACATGGTGGCAGTTACAGCTACTTGCAACATAATTCATTGTATCCCTTGACCCCCAAAATTTACAATGAGATACCAAGAATGGGGTTTATAGCTGACATAGTGTGAGTGTATTTTATCACCCAAGGATGAACCCTATTGAAAATCAGAAGAATCAAAAAATATTTAGTTTGAGTTATTGCCTTTGTTCTTGAAAATGCATTCAATTTTCAGCTCGTAAACACTCTAGAAAGCAAAATTCTTAACAAATTTTGATGAAACTTGGTGTGAGTGTTAGTCATCACCCAGGGATGAACCCTATTGAAAATCCGAAATATTGAAAATGAGTTCAATTTTAGCTGTGAACAATCTGGAAGGCACAATTCTTGATGGATTTTGATGCAAAACTTGGTGTGAGTGTTTGTAATTACCCAAGAAAGGCTTTTTAGTCTAATTTCTTACCCTAATAAAGTAATTATAATTATTATTAAGGATGAACCCTATTGAAAATCAGAAAAAAGGAAAAATTCTTAGTATTAGTTATTGAACTAGTTCTTGCAAACACATTTTTGCCTGTATACACTCCAGAAGGCCCAAATTGACAAATTTGGTGATATAATTTGGTATTGCCCTTAAAAGTTAAAAAGAAGTGTGTGACTGGAGGTTGAATATTTCATACTGGTAATTGTTACTGTACTGTCAAATATTTTTATTCAAAATCATAGCTGCCAGTGGGCATATATTACCTTGCCTGGCAAGCTATCTTGATATAAATTTGAAGCATTTTGAAGGAATAGGGCAACAACTCATGTTAATTATTTTTCCCTTTTCTTTTTTGATGCGGTTAATGGTGATTACAATAGATTTTGTCAATTTTGTCCAAATCTCTTCTTGATCTATTTTTGTCTGAAAGAATTGTTAAGGGAGCTTCACATGTTACCCTTGTAGTGATAGCGGTCAATTCAGAATATGTACTTTTAGTTTTATAACTAGTATATTCTGCTTTATATCTTTCAGAGAGAGCAAAGTAATGAAGACACCAAATGGCTGAGTCACCTATTGTATCATTTAATCAGGAGTCATTAAAGCACTATTTTGTAAGCCCCTTAAAGCAGTCTGCAACCATGTGATATAAAACAAAACATTGTAATGCCATGTGGCCTTTAACAAAATGCCAAGGGCACCAAGTAATTCACACAAAGAGTTTAAATATTATGTATAGAACAAATTTAGTAAATCAAGGCACAAGTATGGTGGCCCATGAGCGCCATAGCTGTTTTATTATTTTATTTATGAAAATACCTTTCTTTTGAATTTGAATTCATTTTTATTTCACTTTCATTTTGTTTTTAAATTCATTTCGTTTTTTATTTTACTTTCATTTTGTTTTTAAATTCGTTTTACTTTCATTTTGTTTTTAAATTCGTTTTATTTTCATTTCGTTTTTTATTTTACTTTCATTTTGTTTTTAAATTCATTTTACTTTCATTTCGTTTTTACTTTTTATTTTACTTTCGTTTTGTTTTTAAAATTATTTTACTTTTTATTTCACTTTCGTTTTGTTTTTAAAATAATTTTACTTTTACTTTCATTTCACTTTTTATTTTACTTTCACTTTCATTTTGTTTTTAAAATCATTTTACTTTTACTTTCATTTTCGTTTTTAAAAAAAAATTCTTCTTCATTTACTGTGCCATAGTGTCCAGATTATCCAGTCACACTTTTGTCTATCATCCAAGTGTTAGAGTAATTCCCCTTGAATGTGGTTGTGCGAGAATTAAACTCTCCTTTTTATACGCCCACATGAATATGTGGTCGTATATTGTCGTCGCCCCTGTCCGTCGGTCCGTCCGTCCGTCGGTCAACATTTCTTGTGAGCACTATAGAGACTACAGTTTTTATCTGATTTTGATAAAACTTGGTGTGATGCTTTAGATTGATAAGATCTCGGACAAGTTCGAATTTGACACATTTTCGATGAACGGTTTTTGAGTTATTGCCCTTGACTTTGTAAAAAACGCGTCAAAATTTGTTAAAAATAGTTCGTGAGCAGGATTGAAGCTACATTTTTCAACCGATTCTGATGAAACTTGGTGTGATCATTGGAATTGATAAGATCTCAGACAAGTTCTAACTTGGCGCATTTTCGATGAACGGTTTTTGAGTTATTGCCCTTGACTTTGTTAAAATGCGTCGAAATTTGCTAAAAATAGTTCGTGAGCAGGTTGAAGCTACAGTTTTCAACCGATTCTGAAGAAATTTGTGGTGATCATTGGAGTTGATAAGATCTCGAACAAGTTCTAACTTGATGCAATTTTGATGAACGGTTTTCGAGTTATTGCCCTTACCTTTGTAAAAACGCGTCAAAATTTGTTCGTGGGCACAATAGAAGCTACAGTTTTCAACCGATTCTGATGAAACTTGGTGTGATCATTGAAATTGATAAGATCTCGGACAGGTTCTAACTTGACGCATTTTCGATGAAATGTTTTTGAGTTAATGCCATTAACTTACGAAAAACGCGTTAAAAGTTGTTTTTTGCCTTTGATTAGAGCTGTGTGATTTAATTGTTTGTTGTATTTGGGTTATTGATATTGATTTTAAAAAAATTTGTGGAATTATTCAGCATGAATGATTTCTTCAATATGAGAAAATTCGTACTTTAGTCACTAAAGACTGTTTTATTTTTTCTGACAGCTGCCAGTGGGCGTATGTTACCTTGTAACGCAAGCTATCTTTAATCTATGGGTGCTGGGGGTATTCATTTCCCAATATTCAGCATGCTTGCAAGGGAAATGGAGGCAGGGAAAGCTTGAGGTCGTGCTGATGGTGTAACTGACAAAATATTTGTGCCGACAGGTTTTTTAGTAGAAATACCACTACAAGAAGGCATATTCCTATTATGTTCATTTGTTGTGTTCATGTCAGTCTGAGAAAATTCAACGAATCTGATGTGAAGTAATTTAAATGATTTGATCTGATCTGATCAATATTTGAGAAAGATGGCCCTCGATCTCCTGCCATGATATCACATTTGTAAGAAGATGGAATATCAAAATGTTTTTGACAAGCAGCCTAGTTTAATGCTATCTAATGACATCTCCCCGTTAAATTCCACCATTGTGAGGTAAAAGTAAAATGATTTTAAAAACAAAACAAAAGTGAAATAAAAAGTAAAAATGAAATGAAAGTAAAATGAATTTAAAAACAAAATGAAAATAAAATAAAAAACGAAATGAAAGTAAAACGAATTTAAAAACAAAATGAAAGTAAAATGAAAATAAAAGTAAAATAAAAAACGAAATGAAAGTAAAACGAATTTAAAAACAAAATGAAAGTAAAATGAAAAAACGAAATGAAGGTAAAATAAAAATAAAAGTAAAATAAAAAACGAAATGAAAGTAAAATGAATTCAAAATCAAAATGAAAGTGAAATAAAAATGAATTCAAATTAAAAAGAATATTTTTTTCATAAATGAAATAATAAAACAGCTATGGCGCTCATGGGCCACCATACACAAGTTTAATAATTGAAATTGTTATCATTTGGCACTTATTTCTCTTTGACTTGATTGACAAATCAAATGGATGAAAAATTTATGTCATTTTTAATGATAAAAACAATTGATTATTTTCTATATCAAATAAATTATGATATTAAATGATTATATTTAATGTCCTGTCCCTAACTATCATAAATCATATATTGACTCAGCCATCTCTCATTGCCAAGAGTCAGCTGATAAGGAAACTTCTCATCAAACTTTTGACTAACAGATTAAGAAAATAACCCATTTCCAAAATGATAAAAAGATTTCTCCTCCATGAATTTTGTACCTTCTTTTTGCAACTACAAAGAAAAAATCTACCACAAATTAAAACTACTGCCAATCTTAATTTTACTGATCTTAAAGGAAAAACCTGTTATAAAATTTGTTTTGATGTTTCCTGTCAAATATAACTCTTGAAGAGAGTAAAAATCATTTCTGAAGAATTTTATCAGATATTTTCAGATAAAATGAAATTAATCGACCAAAGCCCCATGAGGAAAGTTGACGGATGGATGATAACTCTGATAGATTTGATGGAAATTTTCTTTAATGATTTTGCCTCTTTCATCTTAATATTATCATTGTTAGATATTACCTCACAGGTGCTTGAACATATAGTATAGCCCATCTAACCATATTTGAAATCATTATAGGATTAATTTTGTGTGGTTTAATTTAAATTGATTACTAATCAGTAATTGTTACAGACCTTATCAGTTTCAACCAGGCCCAATTATTGTTTAAGTTTGTAAAGGTAGAGAAGAAGAAGGCAGGTTCTTGTTACTGATCAAGTTGAGTCTGATTTGAAATTATTTTTCTTATTTATATCACTATTAGAAATATTAAAACAGAACCTGAAACTTGTTGTTATGAGTTTCACACTGTGTGATCTTCAGACAATTGACCTATCACTGATCAATACCTCACCAAGCAACCAATGGGTCATGGTTATTTCAATGAAAAGAAATCTTGAATATGATACCCCTTTCACACTGCAAAAGTAATTCGGTTCTATCCAGTTCTATCCGAATAACTTCCGGTTGCTTTTGCACTGGCAAAAAAACTTAATTGGTTATAACCAGAAGTTATCCAGAGGTGGATTTCGTCTGGATACGATCCAGATAAGTGGCAGTGCGAAACCAAACAAGAAGTTATCCGGATAAGTTTATCACTAGGAAAAGAATGAATATATATCGGAAGAGGAAACATAAAATGCTTTTGTTTTTATTTTCTTTAAAATTCAGTATCAAAACCCGGTAATTTCTGTGTACCTTCTGGTATAAAATCACAGAATCTTGGCACTTTTCTGGTTTACATATACTTTATGTAGTTTTTTGCTCCAGTTACATTTGTTTAATTTGTAAATAATAGCCAAAATCACCAAACACAAACATATCACAGTCTGAATTTAATTTAGATTTAACATAATTCTGTAACATTTGGTGTATTTTGGCCTATGTCTTCAATGAACTTAAGTATGTGATATGATTTTAATGCTATGCAATTTGTAAAAAAATGTTTGTATTTCAATAACAGGCAAATAATTTTTGAGAATTACGAATCTCAGTTTATTGCATTCAGGGAGTTCTTGATATAAACATTACAGGTATATAACACTAGTTTATTTCTATCAACATTGTTATCATTGTTATTGACAACATTAAAAACATTAAAGAGTAATATGTTTACATTTAATCTAACTTTTAGTGGGGGGGCTCAGTGAGTTAGATGATTGCTTGCTAACCTGAAGGTCCAGAGTTAAATCCTGGCATAGGCCAAGATAATACCTTAGGATTTTTCAACCCTGTTTCCCCTTGTCTGTGATGTAGGTAAGAGGGGCTGACTTAAAAAAGCGTCTTATCGTTTGGCCCTGAAGCCCCGTGTGCTACAGGCTGTGCACATTAAAGATACTTTGATGGTTAGAAATCGAATTATGCTGATGCCGCTGTCCTGGCAATATTTCCCTCATTGCACTCTGCATGGCGTTGCAACAACCCACATGGTGCAGAAAAGTAGGATGTAAAACTTCATTCATTTCATTTTCTAAGTCTTAGTCAATGAACCTAAAAATGTTACCATAAAACCGATTTTAACTAACATGACTGAGATATGATTCAGTTACATCTGTTAAACAATGGTCTGTCTTATATATTATTGAAATATGCTCTAGTAATCCTGCAATTTGACGCAACAAATTTGTTTCATCCATTGATCTATGATGCAGCATAGAAATCCAAGCTATCCTGGGATTACATCTACACTAATGCCTAAATTGCTTAGATCTTGATTTGTCCTCTGATTTATATCTCCGTGGTACTCTGATTTTTGTTTCCATTGTCTTCTGATGTATGTGTCTGTTGTCCTCTGATGTTTTCTTTCCACTGTCTCAATTCCACCATATGTCTGCATTGTTCTATGATCCAGTTGGTATCCATGCCTCAGGATTTTCAAACCAGGGTTTATAATTAGGGTTTGCCATATAATGAATTTTAAAACCACATCCTAAACACTTAGTTTCACTGTATTTATCTTTCTTCCCTGAAAACCAAATATAATTCACTTTCACAAATTGGTGATTTTCATTTAAATATCCAAATGTTTGATAGATAAATGTCAAAAGAAACAAAAAATCAAGGGTCAGTAAAATCAATCGTTTTAATAAAAGCCTCCTACTACAATAATCTGTTAATTGACCAATTCTTGTAATTGATTTAATCAGATTTATGTAAGATAACATAAGATACAGCTGTAAGATAAACAAACATTTTTTTTTGCCAAATACACTGTAAGATGAATTTGCTCCTTGCTCCTGTGATTGAAATTACTATGCATTAAAACTGACAGTTATCATTACCCTTAATTCTGGTGATAGTTGTTACACCAGGTATCAATAACAAAAAACAGTTCTTACAAATAGTTCTCTTTATATTCGGATGTCTGAAAAAAGAAATTGCCTTTTTTAGGGTCTGACTGAAAAGTGAAAAGAAGAGCAAACAAGCTCAAACAATATTCTAATATGCAAATTGCAATAAAAGATCCGGCTTTGATGATTAGCAGTGGTAGTTTAAGAGAATCTCAAGGACAGGCAACTAATCTAGGAAGAACACTTGAAAGTGTTGTAATTACTTTTGTTAAAAGAGGGGTGTGAACAGACAAACGAAACTATTATATACTGTAATTTGCATTTGGATTAAATGGATTCACTTCCGGTTGAATAACTTCCGGTGTGATTGAAATATTTCAACGAAATTATGTATATCGTTATAAATCGTAATTCTATGGCCGATTTTTAAAATAAAATTTAGTCCGAAAAAATTACTTCGGCCGCCATCTTGATTTGATACTTTTCCATAAAACTCAAAATGGGGCTTTGGGGGAGAATGGGATTGGTCAAATTTGTTGGTGTATACTTTAGTCGATGGCGACTAAAATGTTGCGAATGGATTTTTGAATTTGACTTTTGCTTTTTTGCAACTTCCGGTCGAATTTTTTTCAATTTTTGAAGGCTTGTATCTCGTGACCTTGACCTTTAGTAGGTCAAAGGTCATTGACCTTGGCTATCAGATCATACTTTGAAATTTGACCTCCGACATCTACTTCCGGTTTTATAGCTGTCCGAAAACAGCCAAATTCGCAACTTTGTACTGCCCCTACAGGTGACCTAATTAACCTAGAGAGTTCATTTTTGCATATTCTGAATGGGCTTTATGAGCTCTTTCCAACGATATATCACAATGTATTGTAATGCAAAATTTTAAATTTTTAAATATTGCAATCTTGGAAACCTTTCCCCCGATTTTTTGAATATATTGACATTAATAAATGCACATTTCATGATCTTTTAAGTTTGGAGGCTTTAGATTTGGACAATAATTAATCATACCCCATATAAATGTATCCATCAAAAAGAAAATTGACGAGGGCGTGGCACATCCGGGTTAAATTTTCATTTTGTTTACATTTTGTGGTCTGGAAAAAATATATATACAGTACAATTTTTTGGAAAATCCTTTTGCACACACTTACCTCATTACTTTAGCCCAATTATATCAAAATCTCAGATGTTTTGGCTGTATAGTTCGAAAAAGGGAACGGGTTTTAGAATTTCAAAATTTTTAATTTTAGATTTTGACCTTTGTTGACATATATGATTGTATATCTGGTTAACCAATGGATGTAAAGACTTGAAAATTTAGGCATTATTATTATTATTAATTTTGATAAAGTCACAACAAAAACTTTGACGTGGGCGTGGCACATCCGGGTTGAATTACTAATTGTTTACATTTTGGGGTTGGGGCATAACTCGCATAGGATGCGTTTGTTCAAAAAGAGACTTTGCACACAATTACCTCATCCTCTTGGCCAGTATGTATTAACAGCTCAGTTGTTTCAGCTTTATAGTTTTAAAAAAGGAACGGGTTTTAACATTTGGATATTTTTATTTTTCGATTTTGACCTTTGTTGACTTTGTTGACCTATATCTTTTGACCTCTATTATGTAGGAACTTGACATTTGGAACATAACGTAACATTTTGAATATTGATTAACTTATTCAAAAAAAATTGAGTTGGGCGTGGCACTTCCGGGTTAAATTACTCATTATTGACATTTTTGGCCAGGGGCATAACTCGCAAAGTATACATTTGTTCAAAATGGAACTTTTTACACAATTACCTCATATTTTGAGCCACTTTGTCTTAGAATTTTGGTTGTTTCCGCTTCATAGTTCAAAAAAAGGAACAGGTTTTGGAAATTCAAAATTTTCAATTTTTGACCTTGACCTTTGTTGACCTTGACCTTTGTAGGATCAAACGTCATTGGCATTGGCTATCTATTTATACTTTTATATTTGCTGTCCTAAGTCAACTTCTGGTTTTATAGTCGTTAGCAATTTGAAATTTTAATGGCGTATATCTCTTGATCTTTACCTTTTTAGGCCTTCTCTTTTACAAGATCAAAGGTCATTGACCTTGGCTATCTGCTGATACTTTCATTTGTGAGGTCTGACGTCCACTTCCGGTATTAAAATCTTCTAAAAAATGAAAATTTCTCAACTTTGGACTGTTCTTGCGCTTGATCTAATTATCGTGGAAGGTTGATTTTTTCAGGGTCTTTTGCATTTTGCTACATTTGCAAAGTCCCACTCTGTGCCACGTGTGGTTCTAGTATTTCTTTGTTTCTGAAATTTTCCCTGTCTGAATTTTGGTCTATTTTACAAAGAGCACACAGCTTCAACTGTGACAGCTACATCAAATCTCCAAAACTGGTATTCTTTACTTTTTGACCATGTATGCCTTAAATGTATATTGGAACATTTTTACAAAACAGGAATTGCTACGTTGAAACATGTGCAAAAAATACAAAATGGGCTCTAGAAGTCGCAAATTTCAGTCGATTTTCTTCGGGTTTTCATTTTTGGAATCTACAAAAAATATCCGAAGAGATAGAAGTACAAAAAATTCGAAATTCGAAAATTCGTAGCACACTTTTTTCAGTCAAATTTTGCAATTTTTGACTTTATTTGCCAATTGATCTTAAAATTTATGTGTGTAGACAACTCACCAAAATAAAAAAATGGTTTAATCAAAATTTTTGTATCACTTCCGGCTTACTCGTGAAAACTACTTTAACTTCCGGTTGAATAGCTTCCGGTGTAATTGATATATCTCAACAAAATGTATGCTGATCAGTAGTCATTTTTAAGACAAAAAAACAAAGAAAAAAAAATCCCAACCGGAAGTCATACTTTGGCCGCCATATTGATATGATACACTTTTGTAAAACTCAAAATGGGGCCTTAGGGTAGAGATGGATGTGAGAAATTTTGATGTATTTGTTAACTGCAATCGATTGCCCAAAATTGCTTGGAAGCCGATTTTTGAATTTCGTTTTTGCTCTTTTGCAATTTCCGGTTGAATTTTTTCGAAGTTTGGAGGCTCATATCTCATGACCTTGACCTTTAATGACCTTGACCTTTATTGGGTCAAAGGCCATTGACCTTGACTATCACTTGATGCTTTTACATTTGGCATCCGATATCTACTTCGGGTTTTACGAATGTCTAAAAACAGCAAAATTCGCAAGTTTGGACTGCTCTAGCACGTGACCTAATTAACCTCGAGTGTTATTTTTTTCGGATTCTTAAAGGGCATCTCATGCTCTTTCCTGCGATATATTTTTAAAATTTTAATGTTTTTCACAATATTTTTGTCTCTTTGAGCTTAGTTTGTGTATATCTTATGACCTATTTGATCTAGGAGCTAGAAATTTGGAACACTACTAGACATTTTCAATATGAATAGAACTATGACAAAATAGTTGAGGTGGGCATGACACATCCGGGTTAAACTGCAAATGGTTTAAATCTGGGGTAGGGGCATAACTCGCATATTTACGTTTTTTCAAAAAGGGACTTTGCACACAATTACATCATCCATTTGGCCAGTTCGTGTTAAAATCTCAGTTGTTTCAGCTTTATAGTTATAAAAAAGGAACGTGTTTTAGAATTTCCATAATTTCAATTTTTGACATTGACCTTTGTTGACCTTCCTCTTTACGTGGTCAAAGGTCATTGACTTTATTAGCTGATAAATGGCGTAACTTTAGACTAATCTGGCACGTGATCTAATTAACCTAAAAGGTTGATATTTTCAGAGTCTCCTGCAATTTGCCACATTAGCAAAGTCCCACTCTGTGCCACGAGTGGCTCTAGTTATTTTCTTGATATTACTTACAATCTTAGAACTAGACGTCTTGCAATGGCCTTCAGTGTCTTCGTATAAAATCTACAAAGACTGTGGTTGGAAGAATCTGTAGTTAATACTAAATAAGCAGCCTGAAATAAGAAAATTAACCAAATAAATAGAGTCAAAGGTAGCTTCTAGTTTCCTGGATGGTATGTTAATGCAAGGCTTTCATTACAGTCAAGTAACCTAATTTCAACGGAAATGATTAATAATTTACCTGTGCAACCTCACCTGACTTCCGCATTTGCATATTTTGATAAGCATGGGTTATCTCAACAATGTCAACCTGCAGAATTTTTCTGATTGTTCCAAAGCAATGTCAAATTATTATCTATTTGTAAGGTGTACAAAATGGCGGATTCCAGTTTCCAATGAACGTCACCAAATTTCCTTGTAGCCTAACCCCCAGCTGTTATTGGAATTTCAATTGTCGTCTGCTAGAATGTATTCCTGTGAACGAAGTCATATGTGACAAACTAGCAGGTTCCATGCCAGCAGAAAAAATATATGGAACACAATAAGGGCCATATTCTTATGTTGTTTCGATGAATTTTAGCATATATTGTTGTCACCCATGTCTATCCGTCTACAATTGCTTGTAAACACTCTAGAAGGTACAATTCTAGACTGATTTTGATAAAATAAAATTGTTTGTAATCACCCAAGGATGAACCTTACTAAAAATCAGAAAAATCGAAAAATACTTAGTATGACTATGAGTTATTGACCTTGTTCTTGAAATGCTTGTAATCACTCTAGAAGGTGCAATTCCTGACAGATTTTGATGAAACTTGGTGTGAGTGTAAGTAATCACCCAATTATGAACTCTATTGAAAATCCGAAAATCGAAAAATGATAAGTATGAGTTATTGCCCTTGTTCTTGAATAAGTGTTAAATTTTTAGCATGTTAACACTCTAGAAGGCACAACTTTGTGTAAGTGTTTACTATCAACCAAGGATGGGCCCTATCAAAAATTAGAAGAATCGAAAAATATTTACTATGAGTTATTGACTTTTTTCTGAGAAATAGTTCAAGTTTTAACCTGTAAACACTCTAGTAGGCCCAATTCTTAACAGATTTTGATGAAACTTGGTAATATTATACAGTATCGCCCAAAAAAGTTCAAAAGAAGTGTATGACTGAAGGTTGAATATTTCATACTGGTAATGATTACTGTACTGCCAAATATTTTTGTTTAAAATCAAAGCTGCCAGTGGGCGTATATAATCTTTTAAGTTTGACGAAAGTCTAATCCAAAGTCATTGTATTCATGCAATAAATTTATTCTTAATCATCAGTTGTTTTTAATTATAAGTCATATCGTTGAGGGTAGCCATTTTACATTTCCAAAGGTTCTGTAATGTATTATTGGTATATATCTTTGATAGGTATGAAAAAGCCAGATAACTCCGAATAATGAGGTTATATCCAAGAATGTATAATATTCAGAATCAGCCATGCATGATTATGAAACATAAAAACTGATGATGTCCTGTTTTTTTTTTATGTGATGTATGCCACTGAATTTCAATATGTATCTGTTTCAAAATCAAAGAAATAATGAAAAAATCGAAACTTATCGGTAAATGTTGCATTTTCCAAAACATTTCTTGGTAGGTCGAAGCGTGTTGTGTTGTGAAACAAAATGTGGCGCCCTTTGACTGATGACATTGTGTCACTATTTTTTTTTTAACTCGTGGTTCTTTGGAGGAATTGTCACTAGTTATAATGAATTGATATTAAAGATAAATACTAAGAGAAGTTAATTATACCACCTGGTATCCATACAACGTGTTTTTCTAGACTTATTTATAGATCAAACATTGTACACGAAAATAGGTGACACATTCTGCCGCCGTTGCCGAGTTAGTTGCTCATGAAATATGGGTCAAAGTGAAAGATTCATAAAGAAAATCGAAATAAACCAATTTTAATTATTTTGTAGAATATCTGAGAAAACATCTAAGACATAAAAAATTTTTTTTCGTTTTTTTAACTTTGACGAAATTCAGTGTTGAATCCTTATATCCATGAAAATAGGCTACACCACTGTAAATTGAATTCTGAGGAAAGCTTTTCGACATTTGAAGTACAGATACGAGATACCTGGTACAGATAGTTGATTCTTTGATAGGTCTCTTTATGAGCCACTGAACTCTTCTTTTTCCCCATAATTTTTAAGCAGTTCGGATTGATATAACCATTCTTGAGGAGTCTTCTTTATACATTTTTTACAATATTTACTTCCTAAAATCAAAAGAGCTTTCTAAAGGAAAATAACTCGTGCATTTCAGACCACAACCAATTCTAGGTTCGAGCTACTGAGAGCACTTCCGTTATCCAAATCTATTTACAGAAAAAGCAGAAGTAATGATGATTTCGGGAGATTAGTCCACAGTTCCTAACAAATGATTTCGACAGCTAGTCTCCTGGGAAGGGAAAGAGAAATGTAGCTTGATGTAAAAAATTTGGATCATATGAAAGATTTCCTGTTTAAAACTTACAGAGTTCAATTAGGGACAAAAACCTCTACTAATCATTTCATAAAAAAATATATTACTACAGTTAATTGACATAACAATGAATCATTATATATCATTCAATTTTCGTACAAGGTCATTTCGTTCCTCTAATTTCAATGCCCGAATAATTTTTTCTCTGGAAGCATTATCCTGCTGTTGATTTAACCAGAACTGAATACACTCATTTATTGCTTCTTTTTGGTTTCCTTTATTTTTTGCCTCGATATGTTCTATATCACCTTCTGACAAACTCAACCTTCTTATAAAAAATTTCCACCCTTTTCCATAATTTTTAGCTAAAAAATCTTTTTCTTCCTGTAAGCCTGCAATTATAAATCAAATTATGTAATCACAGGCAACCAAATGAAGCAAAAATTCAGATTGCAATTTGTCTAGAATTTTACAGCCCACGACACAAGATGCTATTAAGAATATATATATTGGCTATGAGTTTTTTGTATAATTGGCAACATTTGTATTTTACATGCACAATCAGATTTCCTGTTCAAATACCATTCCCCATAACTTTAAACTGTTCTAGGTATCTGATGTTAACAAAGAGATAGAGGTTTTAAATTTCTGACAGTGTTCTTCTCACTGTACCTGAATAATGATGTTGAGGTGGACCTCCAAGATAATCTGAGCTCTCTGTATCAGGTCTTCCACCAATTTCATTGTCTCTCACATAATCATCAATAATTTTTAACAAATCTTTTCGGGTGTCTAATGTATCTACTATTATCTGTCTAAAATATCTCAAGTCATTTGGTTTTAAATCCTGTCTTTCCTCTAGTATTTTAAACAGATCCGTCGCATTTTGTATGGTCTCTGCTAATTTTCGTTTAATTTGAGTATAATATATCAAGGTCTTAAGTTCTGGAGGCTCTAATTTATTACTTATTTTAACAAGCATTGCTCGGAATTTTGAATTTCTTTGATCCATTTTACTCTGAAATAATAAAGACAAAAAGCAAAAATTGATACAGATCTATATTAATATTGAATTGTAAAATGTATGCTTGAGTTAATAATAATAACAAACGGTAATACAAATTTAAAATCCATGGTGAAAATTATAGGCTAGGGTCTACTGTGGAGCTTTTTTTTTTTTTTTTTTGCAATATTTCGACCTTAACTATCAACAACAAACAATCGAAATAATGAATATAAAACATGTTTTTACATTTCAAAAACAATAGAATAGTTAAAGCTGTTCTTACACAGTTACAGTTGAGGATAAAATGAACGAAATGTGATGAATATTTTGAGTTGAAACATCATGTCACAAACTAAACATTTTATATTATATGAATAACAACTTGGTGGCACATTAATGAAGGGGGTAGGGGTATATAAGTTGGTGACCATAAATTTGTTGGTTTTAAGATGTAAAGACTCATACTACCTCAGAATAACGTTCTCAAACTGACAGTTGAATGAGGAACTTCCAGTTTCAGTCAATTCAGAGGGAATCCCCTTTTCTATTTTTGGATTTCTGTTTTATCGGATCGAGTTTGGCACATAGAGTGACTGATTCTTCAAGTTAGAAAAATTACTAAAATCATTTTAACTGCGTGTTTTGAAAAAGAAAAGATTGATCAGGTCAATTTATGATTATTTGATAGGTTATGTTAGTTGGAAATAAAAGATATTTGAAGGCTACGTGATATAATATACATATCTTCATGCAAGAGTCATGATCCGATAATATTCATGGGCACAATTAATCGGAGTTACGCCCCATTAATGTTATAAACAGAAAAATGCAATTCGTCCTTTTTATCACTTTTCTTGCTGTATATTTCACAAGAAATGTGTATGGCAATAAATATTCTAAAGATTTGAACAATAACTGGCATGAAAATGAGGAGAATCCATTTAGAATGAAGAAAGTAAATTTACTTTGGGAAAAGGCTAAAAAGGTGGGTGGATCCTTTTTTTTTTTTATCCAAACATTGTTTACAATCCATTATTTATATTAAACATTGTATTGTATATCATGCCAATTGTCATAATTATGTGCATACTGAAAGCCGAGTGTCATTAGGTACTTGAAGGACAGAATCATCAAAATTCATTGCTCTCAGCACTTTGGCTATTTGCCTTCTTGGTAATGAAAATTATAAATTTTGATAAATGGTTATATCTTGCTCTTGCATTATATGATATTGTCGATTATAATTTCAGAGGCTTGAAGGTCCTAAAATAGCAGATCTTTATGCAGATTTGAGGATTCATGACAAAATGGAAGGAAAATTGAAGAAAATGAAGTTAGATGAAATGGATAAAGATGGGTTATATGAAGCAGAAGTTTTGACAAGATTTAGAAGTAATGAAATTAATGATTTTTGAATAACTTAAAAACATATCATTATCAAGTATAGAAAGTCCCACCTAATATCTGAGCAAAGCTAAAAGTTTTTTGAGATTTTTATATATTTTTTAAGAGAATTGGAATATCAGCCTCAACATCGTACAGTACAGTACAGATAGTCTTAGAATGTCTTTGCGTTTTTTTGTAAGGTTACATTTGAAGGAAACTCCTAGAAATTTCAAACAAAACAAAAAGCCAAAATTCTTGCTCAATATTGTCTTCTGTAAAAGCAAATTCTATTTTGTGTGCTAATGCTTATATTTTTTTTCATTTTAAGACTAAACAGTAGGCTACTATTTTGTGGCTGCTTTTCCAATTCTCTTACAAATAATGGAAAGAATTAAAAAGAACTTTATACTTTTCTCTGACAATAGACACACATTATATCTGAGCCTGCTGTGTTAAGATGTATATATCCCTGAATATAGTTCGCAAATTGAAAATTGTGTTTTCTCAACGAATTCCAACAGGCATTAAATTTGGATCTTTTTTTTTCAGATATTGTGTTTAAATATGGTTTAGAAGATTTTTTCTCCTTAGAGGATCCAGGATGGTTTAATGAAATTCCTGAAAATGATAAAAAATGGCCAGTTTTCACCGATAAAAAATTAGATAAAATATGGAAAAGAGCATCATTGTCAGATTTTTCAGGTAGAACATACTGTTTAAATTTTTTTTGTTGCGTATTGGTTTGGTTATAATAGATCTTCTGTATTTTTTGTTAGTTTCAATATTTTTATAATTAAAAGATGAAGACATACGTGAACAATTTATTATCAGTAATATTAAAAACATTTCCAATTCATTTTGGATGAATTTCCAGATTTTCCTGGGCTATTTTACTAGAGGGTTTCAACTTCCCTTTCTACTGTGAAGAGTATTATTTAAATATTTAAATAAATATGTTTTTGTTTTAACAAGTTGTATTATGTTTTTCAGATGAAGAGATAGATAAACTAAGGGAAGAATTCAGACATCAACAAATGAAAATAGATGAATTAAATACTTTAAAAAGTTATTTTGATGGTAAAAATATTTATTATTCTTTTCACAAGAACTAATACTTCTCTATAAGAACTGCCAAACCAGGTTTTGTATTTATGTATTGATACCATTTGCCAACAGATATTTATGGCAATGTAGGGTATAGTGCTGGCAAGATATATTGGTGAATCGATGTATCGCGATACGACATGCTACAATACGCGTGGAGATTTTGTTGTTTAATGATATAAAAAAAAAAATTTTCACTGAAATTGTTCGAGACTGTAGTGGACACTAACCATTTTTATCAACTACATTACCAAATATCACAGTTATAAAGTTATAAGTTCTTCCTCACCTATTAGTTGTAAAAACGTTACATTTTCAGAAAATGATATACATGAACAGAAGAATGACGAAGCCAAATATGCTATTTTAAAAGATAAAAAGTCCAATATGAAGGAAATTAATCATGCTGTTAAAGAAGGTTATATGAAATTAGAGACTATGATGAAAGATTCCAATCCAGATGTATCATTTAAAGATTCTAGAGTGTATAAGCTTTGGGCTCTCATTAAGAAAACAAATTTATCTGAGGAGGAGTTGCAATCTTTTAAGGTAAGTTTGATATCATTTTAACTATGTTTTGTAGTGAGCAGAATTATCCATAAACATAGATTTTTAATTTTAACTGTGTCATGTAGGCCTATGATCAATTTAATTAATTTACAAGGCTTAAGACTTATTTGAAAAAAAAAAGGAAAAAAACAATCAATTTGGAGTTTCAAATCACGAATTTACGTGCTTTGGAAAAATTTCCGACTTTTCACCCAATCTCCAGATTTTTCAAGGCAAATCTCCAGATTTTTTTTTTAAGAAAATGTGTTTCTGATAAGAGAGATGAATTTTACAGTTTATCTTCTTCATTATCTTTGCATCAGTGTTGTGATTCATTGCTTACAGGAGGAATTAAAACATTTTGAACATCGAATAGAAAAACATGAATATATACAGAATCAGGTGGAGCTATCTAAAGTTGCCCTTAACGAGGAAGTTAAAGATGGAGTTTATCCACAAACACACTTAGATTTAGAAGACAAAGCTAAACATTTTAAACGCAAGGTCAGTATACTAGTATTCTGCGCATTCTGTTACATTTGTCAGTTAATAGGTAAATTTTAATAATTTATGTGGATTTTTACCATCGCATGTATGGAGTTGTTTTGATGTCAATATTAATTTCCTTGCAAAACGACAAAATGTATAATGTTGATTTGTGAAAGAACATTTGTAGAATTGTAAAAGTTCAAATGTATATTGGTAATTTGGAGATTGGTTTGTAAATGTTCATTAAAAGTTCAATTGTCATTTTGTCAACTTTAAAAATGTGAAACAACTCTCATTAAATATTTGTTAAAACATAAATAACTAATGTATGTAATTAGACGATGTCGAATTTACTGTAGTGATCTCCATCTCTGTTAGAAGTGAAAGCACAGCAGGAATTTTAACAGAATATATGGAAAGGTTTAACACCATCTTAGTTCTTATCAAGTAACTTATTCTAGTAGTTGCACTTTTATCTCATTGATTACTTTCAGTTGTATTGCTCCTTTTACTTTTAACCAAAAGGAATTTTCATTTATATTTCAGGTGAAAAAGATACACATTGATTTAGAAAATAGAGTAAACAAACTAGTTAACAAACATACAGAATTATAGTGTTTACAATACCTTGACTTTAATCATTCAGAACTATTTATAGAATTTCAACTACCCTTCCTATCTTCCCTTTTTCATGTCACAAACAAATACTTATTTAGTTCATAGAAAGAATGGTTTGCAGGGAGAACAGCTGAATACAACTTGTAACCTATTAATTAGTATTAGTCTTTCCTAATCTGAGTCTACTTAGACTGATTTCTCAACCAACATTCTCAGTTCCTTTTGAATCCCTCTGAAGGCTACAACCAAAAAAGTAATAGATTTCGTTGGTACAATTTACACAATGGAATAATAATATAAAAAAATAGAATGAAAGTTGTATCTCTATGTCAATCAAATTAGAATTCTCAATATTTGTTACTTTTTCATAATTTGTAAAGTTGGAAATGATTTTTATACCCTTCAACTTTCTATTTATGTTTGATAATGATACTGGTATGGTTTGTGTTATTGTAATATATTATAAAATAATAATTTATATGGCATTAAATCTCTAGTTCTATACCTCCATTCTTCACAAAGTCAAGCAATTACGAACTTTGTCTTATACCTTGAATTGCAATAGCCCCCTTTCTTGTATCACGCTATGCAGTAATTTGATTGGATTGTACGTATGATTTCAAACTTTCGGTCAAGGACTCTGACTGGCTGTATTCGCTATCTTCGCTGTATTTTCAAACTTCTGTGATACAAAAAGTATAAGAAATTCGTAATAGCTTGACTTTGTGAAAATGACACTTCTCACACACACACACACCCACACACACACACCCTCACACACCCGCCCTCACATGCAGCCTCCCTCTTTCCTCTGTTTATATCAGCACTATAAAACTCTCTCTGAAGCTTCCTCTACCAATCGATTGGTTTTCTGATTTATTACTGGAATAATCCTTTTTCAGATTTAATTGCATTTCTTCTTTTTATCAACATTTGAATTAATTATTTTAGAAAGAGATAATATCGCCCTATTTTAGTATTTTCCACAAATAAGTGCCTTTGATATAAATGTTGTGGTGTATGAGAGATGGAATTTTTATTGAATCTGATTCTTGGTTGTGATGTATGAAGTTTAATGTATTGATGTATTTATATTATATTTTGCTTGACCAATTAGATAAACAGTGGTGTAACCTATTTTCGTGGATAAAAGGAATGAAGACAATTTTTTATGTCTTAGATGTTTTCTCAGATATTCTACAAAATAATTAAAATTGGTTTGTTTCGATTTTCTTTATGAATCCTTCACCCATATTTCATGAGCAACCAACTCGGCAATGGCGGAAGAATGCGTCACCTATTTTCCTGTACAATGTTCGATCTATAAATAAGTCGTATGGATACCGGGTGGAATTATTAACTTCTCTTAGTATTTATCTTTAATATCAATTCATTATAACAAGTGAAAATTCCTTCAAAGAACCACGATTTAAAAAAAAATAGTGACTGACAAAATACGATATGTATCTGAAGCGTGATTTATTGCTAAAAGTCACTGAAGCAACATACGAATATGGCCCACTTTGTGTTCCATAGAAATTTTCTGCTGACACGGAATCCACTTGTGGATATGTGACTTCATTCGTCGGACTACATTCTAGCAGACGACACTTTGTATTCCGATTACCGCTTGGGATTATAAGGAAATTCGGCCGATAAAAAATGGTGACTTTTGGTAATAAGTGAAATCCGCCATTTTGTATTTGTCAAAGATACATTAATACATTTTACTTTGCTTGAAACTACTGAATTCATTCTAATAGCTGTACAGAAAACCCATGTTTATTAAGATAAGCAAATGCGGAAGTCACGCGAGGACGCACATTTAAAATATTAATCCTTTCCGGAAATCCACGAAAAATAGGTTACAACGAAATTAGGTTACTTGACTGTATCTATCCAAAATATTGTATGATTTTACATTGGTCTCTAGGGAGTAACCATTTTTGATACCCATCCTATTCCCTGTTTCATGGATCCTTCAAATTTCGGTTGTTAATCTTTCAGAGATTTAGGTCATTTGTATGATAATATACTTATATTTTATGGGTTATATTAATTGGATTTTTCCTGTTTGTTAGTTGGTTATGTTTTTTGGTGCGTGCCTATGTATCTTCTTCAAATGTAAATTAATCTTTTATATTAATGTTTTATAATCAATTTAAACGAAAAATTTAAAAATTTCGACGAAACTTGGTATGGTTGTTTGTAATCACCCAAGGATGAACCCTATTGAAAATCAGAAAAATCGAAAAATATTTATTATGAGTTATTGCCCTTGTTCTTGAAAACTCGTTCAATTTGTGGCTCGTAGAAACTCTAAAAGGCTTGATTCTTGCCGGATTTTGACAAAACTTGGTTTTATTATTCAGTACCGCACTGAAAATTGAATATTTGTCTTCTAGAGTTTTCACGAGCTAAAGATTGAACACGCTTTCAAGAACAAGGGCAATAACTCATACTCAATATTATTCAGTATCGCCCTAAAGAGTTCCAAAGAAGTGTTTGACTGAAGGTTGAATATTTCATACTGGTGATTGTACTGTACTGCTGAATATTATTATTCAACATCAAAGCTGCCAGGGGGCGTATATTGCCTTGCCTGGCAAGCTATCTTAAAATATAGAGAAAAATACAGAGTTTTAAGTCTGTCATAGAAATATCTTAATGATGAGATATATTTCGGAATTTTTATAGTATGGGAGTATATTGTAGTTGCCCCTGAAGATGTGCACTGTTGAATTTGGTGATGATCCGTTGATTTTCTTTAGAGATATCGCATAAAACTCTGATAACGCGTTCGTTTTTTTTCTCACTTTTTTGGCACGTGCTCACTCTACAGGCTACAATTCTCCATGAAATCTTTTGATCTTTTGTATGTGTATCAATATCATTATGAAGATGTGCACTATTGAATTTGGTGAGGATCCGATGATTTTCTTGAGAAATATCGAATAAAACTCTGATATTGAGTTTGTTTTTTTTCACATTTTTGGCTCATGCTAACTCTTCAGGCTACAATTCTCCAGGGATTCTTTTAATCTTTTGATCTGTTGTATGTGTGTCAATATCATTATGAATTGCACTATTGAATTTGGTGAGGATCCGATAAATGTACTGTGACATTTATTGAAAAAGACCAACACAATAAACCAAGTCAAATTTATGTTAAATTTAACAATGCTTAAGTTGGTTTTAGCTTCTAGAAAGCAAACTTGCTGTCTGCCTCCTAATGTAGAACCAGGTAGTTTCAATAGAGATATATGAAAGTACAATCTAAATGTGATATTGCATCCAAATGAGGCAGCTCTGCGAAAGCGCCGATTGAGCGTCTGAATGGGTTCTTCCCGTGGAAGTTTTTGAAAATAGAATTGATTTTGGTGCCACATTGGGCAATAGTCATATTTTAAAATTTTGTTATAAATGAAGTGAGTTTCGCAGGAACTTAAAGTTAAAGTAAAGTTTTTTAATTGGAGGTCAATATCTTGATACAGATGAAGTTGAAAGCGCTGAACACATAGATTGACCAACTATAGTTACCAGTATATAGAAGTAAAAAAGATGCCCTAATTTAATGATGCCCTGCAGTTTGTTGAACCATATTCTGATTTTATGCTCTTAATAAAATGTAAATATCTTAGCTACCATTAGTATTAATAGTTAATAGTTCTCTTATGGGTTTTACATTATTAACTAAAAGGTGTTTAAATTCTACTTTTAATGGGACAGGTCTGTCATTTTGAGGGGTTGATTGTTGTCTTGAACATATGTAAATAGTTTTCAGAAGTACTAGAAATGTACGAAAATCTCATAATTCCTTAAAAAATACTTAGAACTAGGAATTTTACTCAAGATTACTATATGTGTCTTTTCTATAAACTACAGAGTATCTTAAATTGATAAGTCGTCATTTTAACATTCTAACGGAGATAATTCTGGACAGACATGGATTTGAAGGCTCAAATTTCGACGGTGAGCTGTGAACAGTATCACTGATTAACTCAGCTCAAAATTACAATTTCTAATTGGTCTAAAAAAAATGGCCCATCTGTCCCTTTATATCGGTTTCTACCCCTTCAGCCAATTTGGGGCCATCAAGAAACTGGGTAAGTGGTATAGATTTTAAGGATCAAGACCAAAACCCGTGATATTATTGCACAATTGTTAGAATTTACCAATTTCTTATAAATCGAATCGATTTACAGTTAATTACTAGTCTCCAAGGTTTGGAACCAGGGCGATAATAGAGCCTGGTTAAATAAATGTATACAGTCAAGTAACCCAATTTCGTGCTACCTATTTTTCGTGCATCTCCGGAAAGGATTAATTAAACAGGCGACCTCGTGTGACCTCCGCATTTGCTTGTTTTAATAAACATGTGTTATCTGTACAATGTCAGCTAGTAGAATGAATCCAGTAGTTTCAAGCAAGGTAAAATATGTTAATGTATACTTTGAAAAATACTACGGCGGATTTCAATTATTACCAAATATCACAATTTTTATCGACCGAATTTCGTTATAATCCAACGCTGTGTTCGGAATTCCAATTGTCGTCTGCTATAAAATGTAGTCCAACGAACGAAGTCGCTTATTTTGTCACTATTTTGCTTTAAGTCATTGTTCTTTGAAGGAATTGTCATTAGTTAAAATGAAATATTATTAAAGATAAATACTAAGAAAAGTTAATTATACCACTGGGTATCCATACAACGTGTTTTTCTCGACTTATTTATAGATGAAACATTGTACACGAAAATAGGTGACGCATTTAGCAGCCAATGTCGAATTGGTTGTTCATGAAATATGGGTAAAGATGAGGGATACATACAGAAAATCGTAACAAACCAATTTTTTTAATTTTGACGAAATTCGGTGTTGAATCCTTATATGCATAAAAATAGGTTACACCACAGTATATATATAATAATATAATATCTATAATAATAACATCAACAACAATAACACTAAGACTGTCAACGATGAAATTGGCGAATT